GCCATCCATCACAAGATATACTCTTGATGACAATATATATCCTAGCAATGAAAATGAAGACACACAGTTGCTAGATGATGACTCGAAGATACCATTATCTGATACCAAAAATTTTAGTCGCACTATCGCTAAAGAAGAAATATCATTCTCCGATGATGATTTACGATCATTCCTAGAAGGTCGCGCGAATTTATCACCGAGTCAACAAGCACAGATTGAAGCTTATTTAAATAAACAATCATCATCCAACCAAGCTATATTTTCAAGATATTCAACGACTACAAAAGTACCAGCCACAAAATATACACTTGGTGTCAAGATATATCATGACCATCAAACCGAAAATACTCAGTCGCAAAGTTATATAACTGAGATACCATTATCTGATTGGAAAGATTTCAATCGCACAATAGATAGAAAAGAAATATTATTTTCGGACGATGATTTACGATCTTTCCTTGAAGGTCGAGCGAATTTGTCAAAGATCCAAAAAGCACAGATTGAAGTTTATTTAAGTAAACAATCATCATCCAATCAAAGTATATTTTCGAGATATTCAACGAGCACAAAACTACCCGCCACAAACTATACTCATCATGGTAACGTATATCCTGACTCTGAAAATGAAGACATACAGTTGTCAGATTATGATTCGAAAGATTTGAATCGCAGTATAGACAAAGAAGAAATATTGTTCTTCGATGATGATTTACGATTGTTCCTAGAAGGTCGGGCGAATTTATCAGAAAATCAAAAAACGAAGATTCAAGTTTATTTAAATAGACAATTATCATCCAACCAAGGTATATTTTCAAAATATTCAACAAGCACGAAAATACCAGTCAGAAGATATACAGCTGATGACAACTTATTTTTTAGCAATGGGACCGAAAAGACGTACTCGCATGGTTATGGAACTAAGTCACCAATTTTTAATTCGGAAAACATTAATACATTTGTCGATTCAGAAGAAATCTTCGTTTCTGATGATGATTTGCAATTGTATTTACAAGGACGAAGTAATCTCTCACAGGCTCAAGAAGCACAAATTCAGGCGTTCTTAGCTAAAAAGACGTCTTCGAAGAAGACCATATTTTCAAAATATTCTACAAGTAAAAGTATGCTAATGAAAACACTGACACCTAACGACATATCAGAAGTTTATTCTGAAGCAGAAACAAGTTTATCACTTAGTAAACAAGTTCAATCAACAGATTTTCAGCCATTTTCAAAATATTTTAATAGTACGATTAGTAATATAGTATCATCAGAATTTGCTTTACAAAAATTAGCTTCTACTATACCAATTACAACTAGAAGAAAAACAAGAATGCGACGACCTGGACAATCGATTGGTGATGATAGTATTGATTTTGATAACAGTACCGAACAACTTTCTAATATCTATACTGATTCAAATGACGATAAGATTTTATCGATTGATACACTTAATGAATATTCTCAGTTGTCAACATCAAAATCTTTTATCTCACCACTACCGACAGGTACTTCTGTTAAGTCAACGAAACAACCGTCTCATTTAAGAACATCAATGAGTACTTCGTTAAAAGACGTTCTAGAAGCACTTGCATTAGATACAACAAAATCAGATTTTATGACCAATGAAAAATCTCGAACTGATAATCGAATTTATCAACTATCAACAGCATCGTCATTAGATCAACTAATTCAATACACTTCTGATGTAAATCTTATATCGTCCACATTATCTGTAAATGATTCATCAAATTTGAAAAACTATTCTCTAGTAAGTCAATTCGATCCAATTCTCATGAATAAAAATGCTACTATACATTCCAATAATAATAATGAAAAAGCGACTATTCATGATGACGACGATAGAATAAATAGTTCCCTTTTCCCAACGAAATTTAAATTAACAATGGATCCGAAATTTTCACAAACTACTCCAGGTCAATTAATATCAACCAATGTTCAGAGTACCTCATCAGATAAAACTTCTAAATCTTCTGCAGATATCAATACCGATCAAACTTCGTCAGTCTTAGTAGTAATCTCAGCTGATAATATTACGCATATGGATTCACTACCACTAGTGACTCGTCGATGGGATACACAAACCACTGTTAACCAAACTGAAATATCTTCTTCAAAGATTAATGATACCATAATTCCTTCAATGCTTCAGAATCTTACCTTTTTACAAAACCAATCTAATATATATGATACATCAAAACCGATTGATATTATGAGAGATAGTCTTAATGATGATCCTATTAATATTAAACAAACTTCAACATTACCAACGTTAATCACAAACGATACATTGATTTTAACTACAACATCGGGTTATATTACTCAAACTATAAAAGATGAAATTAACTATAAAAATTCTTCGGGAATGTCAGTAGATGTCAATATTACCTCTATCTTTCGCACATCATCACCGCTTATTATGTCTAATACAACCCTGCTTTCTTCACGTCGTTCACCTTTATCATCACCGTTGCACTATTCACATCGATATTCAAGCACTAGGTCACCAAAATTTACTTCATTGTCATCACCAAAACTCTTTTCAGACACCACTACCACAATAACAACAACAACTACCACAATAACAACAACAACTACAACAACGATAACAACTACAACAACAACAACTACAACAACTACAACTACAACAACTACAACTACAACAACAACTACAACAACAATAACAACTACAACAACAACAACGATAACAACTACAACAACAACAACTACAACTACAACCACTACATCTACAACAACTACAACAACAATAACAACTACAACAACAACAACTACTACAACAACAACAACTACTACTACAACAACAATCACCACACCAACAACAATGCTATTGTCAACAGAAATAACAACAATGCCTTCATATTCGACCATTTTTTCATCGTCTACTAGCACATTACAATCGTCATATCAGTTTTCATCAATACAAACAACTAATGAAGTTCGAACATCACATATAAAACAATCGACATTAATTAGTACTCTTGCTGATATGTCTTCTTTGCCTCCGATAACAACGTATCAACCGCATTTGACATCAACTATTCCTTTCACATCATACCTTACTACTAATGAACAATTGTTAACAACAATATTTGATTCATATACATCTAAATTTCCCAAAACCTACATCGAATCATCTTCATTATCATATGCAAAATCTACTGAATCATTCACTACTAATTATCAATTTATAACAAGTACTCTAGTTCCTAGTACTAATCTTGACTCTTCTCCAACAATAACATCAGATAAAACTTCGATGCGTTCTACTTTACCTACTACGTCTGAAGAAACTCTTTCACTGTCTAATTATCAATTATTTGAAACTACTGAGACGCCATATTTATCATCGCTAAGTACTGATCGATATCAAGAAGAATTTACTCCATTGAAATTTGCATCGACAATTTTTCCTCACATTGATAAATCAAAGGTTTTCTCGACACTTGAACATTCTACTATACGAACAAGTTATCTATCAACAACAAGTATAACTGCAACGACGACTACGTCAACCACCACTACCACAACAACAACAAAAAATCGATATAAAACTCGAAAATCGAAGAGAACTGGTTGGACAACACAAACATTATCAACTACTGCTTCTTTTCCAACCGCTACGGTTATACCTTCATATCAAACAACCCTTAAATCTGGTATGTTATTGATTTTCTCTTTAAGAATTCTCTCAAAAGATATCAGTTTTTGTCAGAACTATTAAAATTAACATAAATGCATGATAGGATAGCCTGAAGCTTGTTCTTACATAATTGGCATGATCCTTTTAGTTAGCACCTTGAGGTCTTCTAAAATTTTTGAAAGCTTGTTTGGTTATACATCTGAGAGTTTTTGAAGGAGCCTCATTATATCCAATTGCTTTATTCTGTTTCAAAGACCATGTCAAGATGTAGGGCATGACAGAGCTCATTATTTGAATTAATTTTTGTTACTATTATATAAAAGAGTACTTTTACAATAAGAGCACCGTTTTATGAGATATTAATCTTTTCTTCTCCTTGAAAAGAAAGAAGGCTTCTGCCATACCCAGCATCCTAACATACTCTTTCGAACAAAGAAATAATCAAGTATATAGAATAAAGGTCCACGAAGCATTGTGGACTACCAAATGAGCTATTTTTGACTCTTGGTTGTTGAATATCTACCGAAAACGTTATGGTACAGGACTGACAATTTCAGTATAATCTCTTCACTACAGGTCCTATATCTTCTGAAAATTTTATGCAGTTTGATTATATTTGACCCAAGATCAGTTTTTGGAAGTTTGAGACAAGTTTGAAATAACATTTCATTATTTTTTATTTTTTAGATTATAAATTACCAACATCTACAAAAATGTCAACTTGGCCTTCTGAATTGTATTCTCCTGAACAACAAGACACAGTTCTTATAGAACCACGATTAATTAAAAATGATTCTAATAGACTTATATCTAATGATTTACTTAATCAAATATTTAATAATATGTCGACATCAGGAAATTCTTCAACAGAAAAATATATTTATTTTAATTTAAATGATTATCCACCATCATCATGGAACTTATCATTAAATTCTAACGAAAATATTTTTCTTGATGTTGTATTCCCATCATCATCTACTTCAACAAATTTAACATTTTCAAATATTGCAGCAAATCGTTTATCAACAAATATAATTGGTATACCAATTAATTTACAAGTTGATCGTGTACAAACAAAACAATTTTCATTAACAATGAATGCAACAGATAATGATTTAAATGTAAATCGTACAATACCATATTTCTCTGATGTTATTATTGGTCATGTTAAAAGTGAACAATTTGAATTAAATTTAACTAAAACAGATAATATGCATGTACGGGTAACACAAGTTGATTCAGCAACAGCTGAACTTTATCTTGATAGTAATTTTTGTACAAATGAAAGTAGTTTAGAAATTAATTTAAATCTTTCACAAAACGGTAAAAAAAAAAGATTTTTTTTTTTAAATTCTTTTATCTTGTTCTTTTTTTATTTTTCTTAATTTCATTTATATGTTTTATTTATTATTTTAAAGGAACAATTCGTTATGGTAATCGACAACCAATACATATTGGACCAGTTTTTACTCGAGTACATATGCTTAAACACTCATGTGATCGTCAACAACCATTAACATTATTTTTTGATATATGTGAACGATCAAATCCATGTGTAAATGATGGTATATGTCAAGCTGTTATGCCAGATTATAATGATAATTCAAATACGATCACAGAAATTGGACATGTTGGTTATAAATGTCAATGTCCATTACATACATCAGGTGAACATTGTCAATTTTTACAATATCCATTAGGTTATTGTTTAAATAATGGAACATTATTTCAAATGAATAATAGATATAATAATACAATTGAAAAATGTATCTGTCCAATAGGTTTTCGTGGTGAACATTGTGAAGAAAATATTGATAATTGTATTGGTATAACATGTTTTGATCATGGCATATGTGAAGATGGTATTGATCAATATAAATGTTCATGTTTTGATGGTTATTTTGGTTTTAATTGTGAACATAAACATGTACAAATTGTTTTATTACAAGCAGCAAGTCGATCATTTGGTGTTGTTGCAATTTTATTAATTGCTGCTATAGCTGGTCTTGTTGTTGCTAGTGATATTCATACATATTTAACAAGAAAACGTCAAACATCTAATTTACCGAAAAAAATCTCACGTGTACAATCAGAATTATTTGAAAATTCAGTACTTTTACTTGGATTTAGTGATGCACCTATTGAAATGAGTGATTTATCAACTGTTCGAAAATGGAAAAAACCAGTAATATTGAAACAACGTCAAACACATAGAACAACAAGAAATAGAAAATCAACAGGTTATCAACAACTTTCTAGACGAAAACCATTCACTACCATTTCAAAATTCTCATCTCGACGTTATGCAGCATCAAGTCAACTTGATCAAACAATTATTTAAAAACTTTTGTTTTGTTTTGTTGGCTTTTATTTTCTTTTGCTTGTGTTTCATATATATATTTGATAATAATAATTAGAGATACTATTTTCATTTGTTCTAAATTAAGGTACTGACATTTCGAAATTTGAGCAGTTTTTTTTTGTCTTGATTGAATGGAGCTCGTCGAGTGACCTATGAAAATGTTGTTTTCGAGGTGTCCACATGATATTTTTTGCAGCGAAACTGAGGAAAATTAGGTTTAAAAATATCAGGAAAGCCTATAAAAATTGAAACACACCAAACATATCAATTCTTTGTAGCCTTCATATTTATTCGATTTTTTTTATTTTGATTTCACTTGTCACGGGGCTAGAAAAAAATTAATAGATGTTTTTTTTTTGAAAAGTATTGTTCAATAGTTGAGGAAATCGATTTTTTCTCTATTCGAAAATACAAGTGAATAGGAAGGTATTGGTAAAATAAACTCTGAGCACCTTTGTACCAAGGCATATACTAGTCAATAGAGCTTGACATTTGGAGCCATGTTAACTCATCTGAAGTCAGTCTGAGCCAAAATCTCAACAAACAAAGTATTTGAAAAATGAAGTCAAATGTAACTCTTCTAGATATATTGAAATGACTAGAGCCATCTGACATTTACCACAAATTCATCTGAAGTGATTTTTTCGAAGATTTATCTGTTCAAGCGTTTGGTTCAGAACAGACCATGCTAAAAGTTTTTTTGCATGTTATCTTCCTAATATTTTTCCTAGCGCATGGGTATAGAATTACATTTTTGTTGTTTCTCATCATACTAAGTATCAATCCATATGCACGAATATTGATTAATGTTGTGTCTTCTATTCTATAGAATCATTGCGTAGAAATTCTTTACCGATGTATAATTCATTATAGACTTGACCATCGTAACAGTGCAAATAGTAGAAACTCCAATGATAATTTTTTTGTTAGTAGTGTCTAAACTTTTGTGTGTCAGGGAAAAAGTAATATTTATCCGAGTGTACAATGCATTATTGAAAATATTTTTCTTCATACTTAAATCTATTTTTCATCCAAGCCAACTTTCCCATTTATAGGAATAAATGAGAATATCTTCTCTTTGTAAAATCTCATTCTCTTCCTATTAGTTAATATTCTATTTTGCATCTACACTTGAATAGTATTATTCATCACTCGCAAAATGATTGCTCGAACATAACCAAAAGCTCGGTAGGTTTATTGAATAAGTTTTGAACAAACTATCCCTTGGTATCAAAACTTACACATATTTATTTTTAAAAAATTCACATGACAAGATGATCTAATTCTTAAATGATCCAACTGTCTTTACTGCATCGGTCAGATGCTATCTGAATTCGACAACAATTGTTATGAAACGAAGACTGTCCTAACATGCAAAACAACAACACGTTATATTGTGAAAATTAACACGATAAAACGAAGAAAAAACAGCATCATGTGACTCAACACTTATTTCCTACTTATATGATGAGGAAAATATTGTTACTTTTTTATATGATCTCTTTACGATGTCATAAATCAGTCATTTATTTTTTTGTAAGAATAAATTGAATGACAATGAAAACAAAAAATGTTTTATTATTCTTATTTTATTAACATCAATCTTATGTAGGATTAGTATATAACAATATACTTTAAAATTTTTGAATCTTCAAACTTTGTAATTGTATGTTACAAATCATTTAGTATGTTTTTATTTAAATAGTTTGTTCTAATGCATTCAATATCATAGATATCTATTGAATGATTAACAAAGATTTTGATCGATGTATTTTTATACATTATTTTGAATTAATTATTCGATCAAATGATTGTTCAACTGACAAAAATGACAAGTATTAAAATATAAAAAAGAAATATAAAAATAACGTGACGAAAGATTTGTCAACAGCTTGTTAAAAGTGTTATTATTGAAATGATTTAATCATAATGTGTGATGCTATCAAACAATAGTTGCAGTGATTTGTAAATGTTGTTAGAAACAATGTACAATTTTCATAATGCCACAATCTACCTTGATATTAATCTGATGTTAGAATTAATTACAAATACGTGAATATGTTAATTTTATTAAATTATACGTGTGTTTCAATTTTTTTAATAATGATTATGTTGATATTAATGCAAGAATCAATCATGTCAAAAAGATAATACATGAAGATTATGTAAACTCATTTATTTAAAGCTATGATTTATTTCTCTATAATGAACAAAGAACAAGCAAAATGTTTTTAATGAATCAAAATTCAAAACACATTATCAATGATGATGTCATTTATTTGATTTCTCAATCAAATGGAAACATATGTTTTTTTTGTTTTATTATATCTGAATGTCTAAGCTGATTTCATACATACATTCAATCTTAATAGTATCTTTCTTCAAGCACAGAAAATTATCGGTTTATCATAAGTATAGTTCTGCATATGTTCAATAATAAAAGAAAAGAAGAAAAATGTTAAAATGCTTCTATTTTCACTCATTTATCATATTGATTGAACACATAATGGCTTTGTTCGCGTGCGTACACATTTACTCATAATTCATTGTTCAGACAACCAATCGGCTACACTCGATTTCGCTTTCTACTAATGATCAATAGTTATATGTTCTTCGGTACATTACTGTGAATAAAACAAAAATGACAGAAAAAAAACGAATGATAGTTATTCAACTGACAGCAAGAAAAAGAAAACGGCATACAAATGCAAAAAAAAAACAAATAAACTCGCTTATAATATATATATATATTCAATATTTACAAGCAACGACTTATTTCTTGAGTAGTAACACAATTTTGACATTGAACATAACAGCACCATTGAAAACGACAATTACATTTATCATGTACAGTCACTATTTGAGATTGATAACCACGATTACAGCAAAGTAAATCACATCCGTCAATTGCGCGAGAACTTCGATTACAAGTACGTCCTACAGTACCAAATGAACCTAATGATAAATTTTTTTCACAATAATTTGGACTTGATTTAAAATAAATTAAACCATTTTTATATGCTGTTGATATTGGTTGTTTATCAATATGAAATGGAAGGTTACGTGGTATAAAACGTAGTTTTTTATCAAATAAACTTCGTTGTAAACGTACTTCAATTGCATCATCATAGTATTCTTTAAGTTGTTTAGCTATTTGTGTAAATGAATGAAGTGAACGCCAACATATTTTAAATTCACAAGAACCTGATACACCATGACATTTGCATTGTCGATCAACAGAATCAAGAATTGTCTTTAAAAAAACAAATATATAATAAAAATCAAAGTGTATATTAAAAAGAGAAAGAACAAAATTCTTTACTCGAATTCCAACTTGATTATTATGAACATTTAATAAACTTGTTCGATTTTTTGTTATACGTTCTCGAAGATTAACAAATTTTTTAGCTAATTGTGTACCAAAAAAAACATTATCTGAACATCCTGTCCATCGTATAGAATTATTTAAATTTTTATCATCTATTGACATATCACATCCACATGAACTAAGTCGTCCTGTACTACATGCTTTTGTTATAGCATAAGCAATACCAGCTGATGTTAATGCATGAATATATGCTGATTCTTTTGTTCCTATTTTATATTTAAAATTAATATGAATTCTTTTTTTGTATGAAAAAAAAATTTTAAAACCTGAATCAAGAATATTTCCAATTAATTGATTATCTTTAAATAAACTACAATTCCAATGACGATTTTTAAATTGTGTTTTACATTCTTCTAATGCTAAATTTGTACCAAAACGTATAAATGGCATAAGTGCTTCATTTCTTTGACAAAAACGTATTTGTCTATAACTAAGACCATATTTAACATGGCAAAGACCTTGTGTAGCAAATGATATATCAGAGACTTGAATAATTGATCTAAACAAAAAAAAAAAAAAGAAAATAGAAATTCTTCTTCTCTCTTTTTTTTTTTCTTTAATTCACATCTGTTCAATTTTATGACATATTTGTCCAAGTTTTAATTTTATAGATCAATAAACATTTATTTTTCAAATGTAAATAAAACAAAAAAAAGATATATTTGAAATGATAACCACATGCTGTTTATATATTTGTTTTACCCACATATGGAGAGATCATTGATCTTTAGTTTTATTTTTTTTTTATTTTTTCTTGTCAATGAACGAAATCAAATGACTTTTGAACGTGCTTAAATGTTTCCTATGCTTCTTAAAATGTATGCATATAAGAAGCAAAGAAATATCAAATAATGAATTATATGTGTTTGTCAATGACTTTTTATTCGTTACGTTCATTACGTCATTTTATGATGATCATCATGACTTCTCATTTATATTCTCGCAAGACAAATTAAATGAAGTAGAAGGTCTTTTCTTTTTCTTACAAAAAAAAAAGAAAGAGTTAATGAGCCGTATCTCATCTATATCTTGACATGGATTAAAAAAATATGATATAGGATATATTAATAATATCAGAGGTATCTCGAGGTCATCAAACTGGGAGTACGAAAGATGCACATGAAACGAAAGAGAAGAGTTAGAATACAAAATGGATCTTGTCAAACTCACTGCACCCACACCAACATCCCTATTCTCATAGCCCATCGTGCTTATCTTTTCGAGATTTCCATCAAGATTAGGGGTGATCCTTATTGCTAGATCGATAAGTAAAAGTTTCTCTGGAAATTTTTCATTAAATAGGACATCTTCCATTTACGAATTATACTTTTAAAACTTTACTTACAGCCATTGTTGACTTGAATTGATTAAAATAAAAAGAAATAAAAATGATATTTTCATTGCTTATAGATTGAAATACAATCGATCGTATGAATATGTCAATGTGAGAACATAGCTTTGAATGATTTATATATATTAATCAATATAATATATTGTTGTAAATCTTCTCATTGACTTGATAAGATCTGATTTGAGGATAAGAATAGGAAAAAAAATACAACAAGTGTTGATGATTCTTCTCTCTATGTGTATATATTGCGTAGTTAGAAATGAAGGTGCTGATGACGATGAGAATATCAATGTTCATAATAAAAAAAAAAAAAAAAGAAGGGAGAGAGAGAGGAAGAGAAGTCAATAATGATTGGTTATATAGAAACAGAAAAGAGAAAAGAAAATGTTCAACTTTTCTTTCTTTCTGTCTGTTGGTGGGAGTTTGCGAGTCTTTCTAACACTTCGATGACAAATCTCTTTTCACTTTCTATATCACATAACATACTGATTTATGTGCACAGTAGAGTCAATTAGTGTCACATATCTAGATGACTGACCAACTGGCTATATTACTAATGTGTCTGCTACTCGACAATTGCGATTTATTGCAATGTTGTTTTTTTCTCTTCCATACCGTTTGATGTGATCATCGATCAAATCAATACAAATGCTATTCGAGTTTTTTCATTATAAAAACATATGTGTACATTTGTTCATAAAAAAGAAAAAGAAATAAATTATTATCGTGTTTGTTTAATAAAAGCAGAATTGATTGAGAACGAAAGGTTTTTTGTTCGCAAATGAAGAATATATGATAATTTCTCTAGTTTTATATGAATGTACACAATTAATTAGGCTTCTGAAAAAAAAACGTTCTCAAGTGATTCATGCTGTTTTTGTTGATATTTTCATGTACATATGAGCGACTCCGTTTGAAGAAAAAGTATAAGTAGACTTCGATTAATGTCGGAGGGGCTAGAATAGACTAGTCCCTGCCCAAGTTTTATGTCGTCTCCAAGAAAATGTCGAACTATTGTCGTACAACTATCTTTCAAGTTTTAAAGGTAGCTTTTCTCATTCACTTGGTGCTAACTAGACAGCTTCCAACTGTCTACCTAATCTTTAGTCTTTTCTACTTTGAAGAAGTATTGAGATCCCTACTCTTTTTTAACAGGTATAAATATTTTCACTCGCACATTAGAGAAGAAACGATATTAACAAAACTCGTATGACTTGTGAGAAAGTCACTCTAAGAGAGAGAAAAGACATATTTATTTTGATTAATATCTTCAAGATATTCTAAGAATAATTATATCAATTAACTGGTATAATTTCAGATCAAATTTCTTCCATTCAAATTTTTTCAACAAAAACACTAACCATAGGCTTAAAGTTCAGTAGAAGGTTATGGACAGGAATCATTTTAGGGTTTTCATAGTCTTACTCATAGTTATTGCTGCTTATAATATTGAATTGTAACTTGTAAAAAGTTACAGCAGTTCTCATATGAATTATAAGAGGTTTATTGGTATGATTTGCTTTTTATGAAATGAATGAATAAATATGTATCGATTGAAATAAGTCACATCAGTCTAAATCCTCCTAGGCTTTTTCTTAGAATAAAATTCACCCATATGCACGTAAAATATCAGTGAAAACGGCGCAGATCGGTTGAGCATTTTCTTTTGTTCATTAATCCGTTTTATACCATACAAATAGATATCACAACTATCGTAGAAAATTGTCTGTTTTAAGAGAAATACTGCTTGTTAATTTTACTGTCTCGAAATTCGTAAATAGCAACATTCAGTGAGATAAGTTCATCTTAATTCAATATCCTGATTATCAAACTGTTTTCTGTCAAGTCAAAGTAAATCATTTTGTTAAGCATAGTATTAATTGTCTTCGTTAAGAAAAGATATTAAAATCAATACGTATGGCATTATCGGCTGTCTCAATTTAAAATATAGTGAAAAATAATTCATTTTATAGGCAGAGAAATTATATTTGATGTTAACTAATAATTTTTATCTGTCTCAAATCACCATATTACAATTGATACTTTAGTTCACTCAAAAACAGGCGCTTTTTCCTTAAAAACATGAAGGTTGAGACAAATGCATGAGATGATTGATCGAGATCTAATCTTTCATCAATGAACTAGGTTTTTTACTTGGCATTTCGTTTCTTCTTAAAAAAAACTTCCTTCATCTAATGCTTGAACAATGTGGATTTTTCCGATAACGTGAAATATCTTTTTCGTTTTTATTTGTTGATGTGTTTTTTGATCGCATATCCCAGAGTTTTTGAAGAAGTTTCATTGTAATCAATGGCTTTTTTCATTTGTGTGTAACAACATATGAAGCTACAATGCTGGTTTTTTGAATTAAGCTTTAGTACTATTATATAAAAGAATACTTTCAAAATTAGAACAGGAGCGTACCTAGCTCTGTAGGACAGAGGGCGTAAGGTATTCGTCCATATCACTTTAACAGTTATAACCTTTAGAAAAGAGCTTTTTTTCTATTTTGTTGTACAAAAAAGAAATTTCAGAAGCAGGGGGCGTAACATCCTACTCGTTCCTCTCCCCCACTCTGTACGCCCCTGGATTAGAACACCATTTATTAGACATTGAACTTTTCTTTTCCTTGAAAAGTAAGAAGGGCTCTGTCGTGCATTGCATCCTAAAATGCTTTCTCGAATAAAAAAAAATTAGATTATAGAATGAAAGTTTGCAGAAAATTTCGGATATCAAAATGAGCTTTTTCGATCCTTGTTTGTTCAATATCTTGCGAAAACGTCATCATATACGACTGAAAATTTTATCACAGCCTATCTACTACAACTTCAACATATTCTATAAAATGTCATGTGAGTTTAAGGTACTTGGCCCAAGATCACTTTTTGACGGAATTTGTCAATGTAAAATATTGCCATCTATAAAAAATATTTAGATATTTGCTAAAGAAATAGACTCAATAAAAAACTTTATTATGTGTCTAACATTTACAAATGAGTAAACCACAAAGTATTACACGACTATTGTGAAATGACGTTTATCATTCTGTTCTGTTCTTTGTTGTACGACCACATTAATATATATATATATATGCATTTCCAATGTAGCCTTCAAGCATTCAAATTTTTATTCAGTTCAAACAACTAACTGAATTTTACGTTGAGTTTTTTCTTTTCATCAAAAATATTATATGCATTTTAGAAATAAAGAAAAGAATTCTTATGGGCATAAGCGATTGGTCGGACGAAGGCAAACATAAAGTGGTAAACAAAAAAACATCATTTATAGTTGCGGCTAGAAATAGTTTAGTTGATAGATTTTTAGTTTTTTTAATATTTTCTATTTTAGAGATTTCAAAAAGGTAAAGAACCATCATCATCTGAAGAAGAAGATGATGAAGAAATGATTGACATGCCAGTTCGACGTTCTGTAAAAAAGAGTGCAACCAAGGCAACAACTAACAACAAACGAGTAACAATAGAAAAATGAAACTCCGGTAGTTTGCTTAATTATAAAGTGAATATGTATTTTTAGAAAAAAATCCAATCCAAAAACATAAATACTCGAGGCAAGTCACGAAAGCAAGTTGTCAATACAGGATTAGATGGAAAATATTGGAATGTAAGTTGAGAATTTTTCAAATATTCAATCGAGTTTCGAAAATTTGAAAACAAATTATTTATCAAAAATAAGATAAAAGAATTGGAGTAGAATTGATCACAAGAAATAATTCTTTTTTCAAGTGTAAATTGACGGGCTCCGGCAAAAGAATTTTTTTTTCGGAGCTTTTGACCTTGAAGAAAATTCTACTAGAGATTTGTTTCAAGCTGAAAATAAAGATTTCAGCTCGATTCATTCATTTTATGAAGGTTTTCCTTAAGATTATTGATCAGAATATAAGTGTCTATGTGTCCCGAATTTCTCTACCATGTCAAATGCTTGAAAATTCGAGTTGGTTTTAACATATAGCGAGAACGTGACGCTACAACTCAACAGTGCCCCATTTTTGATTTTTTTCTATTTTATGGTGCTCGACAGTTTCTCTGATAAAGTATGGAAAAATTGGAAAGTCCGACTCTGTTAAGTAGTACAGCCAGTTTTTACTTTCACGTTGACGCAAAATTAGAGTTTGTTGGATTCAAAATTTTCTCATTCGAACTTGGACTCGGTCAAATCGTCATTTGATACTCTCAATGACATTGACATATTCTAATCGGAATAGGATTGGTTCCCGACAGATATGAAATACTGTTTTATTTGGTTTTCTTCTGTTCGGTGACTAGCGCACCCTACACACTTTTGAGACGGCGATACCTTATCGGATCTGAGTCCCACCTGATGAAGTCTATATCAAGTCCAGCTTTCTGGCGTTTAAAATGGTGAAGAGATTTGAAACGCGTGGAAACATTAAAAACAAAAACCTTATTGTGAGGAAAAATGCAAATAAGTGTCAACACTATAATTCAAGACTTCTTCCTTCATAAACTGTTATAAAACGCATCTTCTAGTAATTAATGACATATCATTGATTAGAACCAATGAAATGAATGTAGATAAAGGTGTGGAAGTCGGTGTGGATATGAATATTTAGTTCACATACACTCACACCTTCACGCCATTCTATAGCTCTCATATCTGAATGTTGTATTCAACTATCATACTTACCAATGCATGATAGGCCCGTTCACAACTGCTAACAGTCTGTAAATAAGCTTGAAAGACTTATAAAATTAAAGCTTTTAGAAAAGAAAAACGTTATTTTATTCTGTATGTGAAGGTTTAGAAAAACCTATGTGATATCTTTAGATTCATCCTAAAGTCATTAATCTACAATGCATTCGAGAGTAGACTCTTTGCTCTATCTAACGAACTATAAATCAGGAAATGGATAACTTTGACCAAAATTCGCATTTTCTAAGAGGGCTGAAAAATTTACGAATGAAATCAACATGATCAGTTCTTGTGCCAATGATAAGGGTTTTAAAAGTATGATATATATCCATCTGCTGAGTACTTAATGAATCTTGAATATCAATACAATAGATTATCGATAGAAAACTTTTCTAAACTTCAATAATTTTTTCTCAGGATTTTGAATCTGATCGACATACTAATGGAGGTGTGATTAATTACCGACAACTCAATGGTGATGATGTATCATTATCTTCATCAGAATCATCATCTGAAGACACGGCTGATACATTATCAAAGGCATCATCATCAGATGACGATAATAATGATGTTTTATATGAAAATAAAACATTTGTTACATGTCGAAGTCCATCAGATTCATTTTATCTTTGTCAAGTTTTACAAGATGTTTATACAAATACAAAAAAAATTCGTATTCGTTGGTGTTCTATAGTTGGTGACAATGGTGATGATACAAAAATTGGTATCAATACACGTTTTAAATTGGATTATAGGGATACACTTGATCCGGACACAATTTTAACAAGTATATCAGATGTTATTTATCATGATGATAATAATACAATATCATTAAAGAAAGAAGATATTGTTGAAACAAAACGTTTATTACAAAAATCAATTTGTGATGAATCACTTTCATCTGATGATATGATGGATTTATCAACAGAACATAATGTGAAAAAGAAATTACCCAGTCATATACATTTTGAATCAAGTAGTGAAGATGAATCAAGTAGTTCTTCTGCTTCACAATCATCGACAACAATTTCGACAGCAAATAAAAAACGAAAACGTGCATCAAATAAACAGAAATCTCGTAAACAACCGGCAAGAAAACGAGCACGTAAAACATCGGATACATCTGGTGATGCAGTTCGTAAGTTTCTTCTTCTGTCAAAATTCAAAAGTCTGTCCAAGAGTATTGAGACGATTATTTCGATTGTGGATAATGGTCATAAAATGTCGTATGACTGTATTAAATTTTCCAATATTTTGTTTTTTGAGATGACAGATTATGATGTCGTCCTCTTGGATTTTATTCATTTTGAGGAATTATACCTGATTTATGAAGCGGACATAGGCGCATGACTGAATTACCATAACTGGACTTCAAGTTTGAGTACAATCGCCAAGAGTTAAGAAAAATAGTTTAATAATAAATACAATAAACAAAATCTTTCTATAGAAAAGTTGCACTTTACATTAAACATTCGACTATAAATAGATAAGAAAAGAAAAATTTCAAAAATATAAGAAACACTATTTTTGAAGAAGAAAGAAAGAAAGAAAGATTATGACTAAATTACGTTCATCGAAGTATTACTTCTACTAACGAAAATAAATTTCATAACAAGTGACAAAACTTTGTTCTCTGAGCCATAACTAAATAGCCTATTAGAAGTATCTTACCTTATTATGTGATAAGTGTCGGAAAAGACATGTTTGCTGATATGAAAAATTTTAAAATAAAAATCAACAATAAAAATTAATTTTTGGCATTTTACATTTCCGAGAAAAATTCTAATTACTTAAATAAAAAAAAATACATTGTTGAATACTATCTACATTCTTCTAATAGATGATTGTAATGATATTAATTAATTGAATAGGTAAACGTCGTCGTCCAGCAAAATCTACGACTAAGAGCACAGTTCGTATAACAAAACGACGACAAAAGAAAACTTCCTCTGAAAAATCTGATAATGAAGATGAAACATCTAAATCCAAGACAAAAAGTATATTTTGTTTTTTTTTTCATTTAAAAAATTTTCAAATCAATATCAAATATTTTTAGCAAAAAAACCTGCTACAACACCAAAAGCACAATTATTTAAAGTATATAGTAATCGTTTACTCAAAGAAAACACTACAATAACAAAATATAATAAAGAACCATTTTTCGAAGACAAGTAAATTCATTTATTATTAAATAAAAATTTTTTTGAAAAGAAAAATTGAATTGATTTCTTTTTGTCTTTAGTTTACCTGTACCATTTATTTCATCATTTATTCAAAGTAAATTAGCTATTCGTGCTGTAATGATAAATGATTCAAAACTATTAAAAAGTCTTATTAATGATGTTCATCGTGTTTGTTCGGTAAAAAAATGATAATTAGCAAAATAAAATAAGAATCATTATTTATTTCTATTTATAGGTACATGTAACACGTAGTCTTTATAATGATTTATCAGCATTACATTATGCAATTAAAAATAATAATATTAATATGGTTAAAATTTTACTTGGTGATATTAAATCACCGAAAAAAAATCGATGTCCTTTTCCAACTGTTTCAATGACAAGACAAAATACAGGAAGGTAAATATAAATGATTTTTATATTTATATTTATATTTCTAAAATTGAAAAATATTCATCTTAATCTAGAGCTAATATTCGCACATTTGGTTTTCGAACAGCTACAATAATGGCAAGTCGTGGAGCTAAAGAAGGCAATAATGCATTAAACAAAGTAATTTTTCTTTATTCTGTTTTTGTCTTTGTATTTAATACATTATGTAAAATGATTTTTTTTTCTCTCAGGATCAAATGCATTCAACAGCATTTGCTAATGGTGTTGAAATAATTTCTTATGCTTTAAAAAATAATTGTTCAAATGAAATATATGACTTACTTTGCGCAGCATTTGAACATGCAGTAAAAATTGTTTTCATGTTTTTATTTATTTTAAAAATTTTTATACATTTTTGTTTAGCATAATTCAGTTTATGATAATATTCATAAAATAATTCAAGCTGGTCATCGTAAATTAGCTGCAAGTATTATTGATGAAATAAAAGATAATATATTTCATGGTTTTAATTATCTTCATTATCAAGTTTGTTTTTATTAAATAATTTATTACTAAGATTTATTTTATCTTTAAAAAAGGTTTTATTTTATGATAATGAAGATATAACAATAAATCGTGCAGCAAGTGTTATCAAAAAAACTCGAGCTAATTTTATGGTAAATATTTATTAACGAATCATGGAAAAGTTTTTGAGACAAGATATTTATTGACTTTTGATATAATTTCGACGAGTTAAAACTATGAGTTAGGATGCTTTTTTCGAATAAGGACTTATAAATTTTGTTGAAGAGTAGTGAAATAATCTCCGAAAAACTGAAGAAATTAGTTGGTATGGAAATCTTTTTTTTTGCATGTTTTTGTAGTTTCACTATTGCGATTCGAAACTAAAAGTTAGGATCTTTATTTATATTGCAGCTTGTAGATTAGAAGCTATCCTACAAAATATGTTATCTTTGTTTTTCATAAATGTTCATTTTTGAAAAATCGACAACCGCTTAACGTTGAAAGATGCTTTTAAAAAACGTTCTTACAGTCTCTCACTTGAGTAAAAACAATAGCTTAGGTCAATATCACATGTTGTAGAGAGATTATTTCACTAGTCTTCAAGGAAATTTCTAAGTCCACATTTGAAAAGAGTATTCTAACTCATAGCTTATGACCCGTTAAAAATACTTTCATGTAAGTTCAAATTAAACAAATATATTGTCTAAAAAACTTTTCGATCATTCATTGTTACTTTTTATTTTTCTACTTTGATATTACACGTATTTTAGATAACACCGATACATTGTGCTGCAATAAATCCAAATGTAAAATATTTAAAACAATTATTAAATACAATGCCAGAATATAATATTCTTGATAAATATGAACGAAGACCAATACATTTTGCTGCTGCATGTGAAGGATCAGATCCACTTGAATATCTTTTATCAAAGTAAAATTAATTTGAAATTAATAAGTAAATAAAAACTTGGTTTTTTCTTCAAATTAAATAGACATGTTAATTTTAATGATATTGATCGTGGTGGAAATTCACCATTACATATTGCTGTTATGAATGGTCGTGCAATAAATGCAGAAATATTATTACGTACAGCAAAAGAAAAAACAACATCAAATGAAGCTGAAGAACAGATAATTCAGGAAAAATTTGGTCTTGCTTCAATTAATCGTATGAATAAATCACGTTTTTATCCTTTACATTTAGCTGTTCTTAATAATCATTTAGTATGTAAACTTCTTGCATTAGAAAAAAAAACATTTCATAATTTAATTCTTATAGAATTGTCTACAAGTTTTACTTGAATATGGGGCTAATGCTGATATTTGTACAAGTACATCATCAGGAAAATTAACACCATTAATGTTAGCTTGTCAAAAAGGTTATTTAAATATAGTTCAACATTTAATTGAACATGGAGCTAAAGTTGAAGCTCGTGATCGCTTTCAACGAACACCACTTATACATGCATGTATGTGTGGTAATGCACATGTTGTTTCATATTTACTTCGTTTGGGTGCTAATGCAAATGTATATGATTCATCATTGAATACAGCTTTACATTATGCTATAGCTAATGGATGGTATTTTTGTGTAAGATTATTACTTGAAGCTGGTGCAAATTTAAATTGTGTTAATTTATGGCAAACAACTTGTTTAGCAGCAGGATTTTTAAAAGGACATTATGGTCTATGTGATTATCTTCTTACGGATCATCATGTTGATATTAATTTTAAAACAGATGATGGTTTAACTCTTGTTATGTTAACTGTTGGTCTTGAAGTAACATCATCAGCTATAGAACAACTCGAATATGTTGTAGAAAAACATAAAGCTGATTGTACAACTACAGATGCTAATGGAAGTAATGCTGTAAGTTTTATTGGATTGTAAGAATATTATATAGTTTTTATAATTTATTTTTCTTTGTTTGGTTTAGTTACATTATTTAGCTGAAAATATATCGGGTCAAGATACACATAATATGGTGAGATACAATATAAAGCAATATTTTTCTTTTATACGTTTTTTTTTTTTGTACTTTTCGTTTAGGATGAAGACACTAAAAAAGCTCTTCGTGATAATTATTTTAAAATGGCTAAAATTCTTCTTTCTCATAAATGTGATCCAAATAAAATGAATAACAAAGCACAAACACCATTAATGCTTGCACTTGAAGCAGGAAATTTTATACTTGTTGATTATTTAATTGATAATGCTAAAATTGAGATTAATTCTGATATAAGTCATGATGGTAAAACACTTCTACATTATTTTGCAAAAAAATGTCATAAATATGATCTTATTAAATCATTACTAAAATTAGTAAGTTATTTTTCTTTGATAATCTATTTGTGGATTTTTTTTTTCTTGTAGCCAATTAATGATGAAATTAAAAAAATGGGTCAAATATTTGATAATAATGGTCGAACACCATTTCATTATTGTGCTTCAAAATTTGATGAATTTTGTCAACGATTTAAAGTAAAGAAATAAATATATATTTAAATTATTAAAACAAAACTCAATAATTTTTATTATTTAGTCTTCAAAAGGTACAGATCAGTTAAAGAAATCCTATCAATCAATTGTTCAAATGATTGAATATTGTCTTGAATCAGCTGAATGTAATCCTGATATTGAAATAAAAACAATAGATGACTTAAAAAAATCTAACAAAGATGACGATGACAATGATGAATATGAAAGTTTAGGTGGTGAAGATCAAGAAGAAGAAACAAGTGATGATAATGATGAAGAAGATGATGATGAAGGTGAAGATGAACAAACATCAAATGAAAATTCTCAAAATCTTGATGATATGTTTGCTATCGGCAATAAAAAATCTGACTTGAAACCCAAAGAAACAAGTGTCTTCTTTTTATTACGAACTGTTTCATTTGCTGATGATACAATGAAACATCCATTAGAAGTTTTTCTTAAAAAAACAACAAATCTTAATGTACTTCATCATAAAACTCATCGTACACCATTATTAGAAGCTATTTATCTTGAACAATTTAAAACAGCAGAAATGTTAATTCATAATTCATTATGTGATATTAATTTATCAACATCAAATCGTTCAGATGAACGTCAAAACACACCATTAATTTTAGCATGCAAATTACAATTATTATCTGTAGTACGTAATTTATTAGAACATAAACAATGTAATATTACATTATATGATTATGAAAATAATCAAGCAATACATTATTATTTACAAACATCAAATCGTTCGTGTGAATATTTAGATATATTAAATATATTTATTAAAAAACTTAAATTAACAACAATAAATGCTTTAAATATTCTTGGAAAACATCAACGTACACCTTTGCATATTGCTGTTTATCATAATTTAGGTACTATTGATGCAATAACAGATGTTGAAAAAATATTAATTGATAATGGAAGTGATTTAATGATTCAAGATGATTTGGGAAATATACCCTTACATAATGTTTTTCTAAATAAAAAAGTTGGTGATGATCCTGTAGAATTATGTGTTTTACTTATGAAAACAATGAAATACAAACTCATTGATACAATAAATAATGATGGAAATACTCCTTTACATTTAGCAGTGGTAAGTTTTCATATACAAATCAAGCAGAACATTCATATTAATTATCTTCTTTTTTTCTTTCTTAGACAAAATGTTCTACAGTATGTGTAATGCTTTTACAACAACATAATGCCAGTTTATTAATTGAAAATAATTTATCTAATTCAATAATTGGTACTTGTGTTGCATCAGATCATTTAAATTTATTTATAACATTTCTTCAACAATCTAATGATATTGATCTTATAAAACTATACACTCTACCTATTGAAAATATACCATCAAAAACTACTGAAGACACTCCTACGACTCAGCAAAGTTTATTTCCGCGACCCACGGTACCACGAAGACAATTAATTACTCATCAAATACAAAAATCAGTTAAGAAAAAAGAAAAACCAGTAAAAAAAGATAATAATAATGATAATTGGAAATGGAAATATAGTGAAATAAAAAATTCTAAAGAATATAATCAATATTCATTAATATATTTAATAATTGAACGTGATTGGCAAGGTGCATTATCATTAGTTCTTAATGAAATTGATCGTTTTCATTTAAGTTATATACAAATAATCGAAGCAGCTGTATTGAATAATAAACTTAATCTTGTTCATCGTCTATTATTACGTTTAAAAGATGAAATTAGTTTTAATGAAACAAATTCACACAAACAAAATATATTTCATTTAATTGCTAATATGAATGAATATAATGAACCTTTATTAAAACAAATACTTTTATTTCTTTATGGATATGATTTTAATTGGAATACATCAGATGAATATGGTTCTTATCCATTACATTATGCATGTGTTAAACAAAATTTTATTTTTATTGATTTCATACGTGATAAATATTCAAGAATGTTTAATTTAAATCAATCTGATTCATTTGGTAATACAGCTAATAGTTTATTATTTTGGTCATTACCATATAAAACATCATTTTCAAATGAAAAACTTCGTTTATTAATTACATCAGGAAAACAAATAGATTGTTTATGCAATTATGATAATGAAATACCTATGAATCCATTATCGTTTGGTTATATTGATTCATCAATCAAAGACATTTCTTATCCACCAGTTAAATCTAATCATATACGAACATCACCATTAATTCATGCAATCGTTCATAATAATTTTGAATTAGTTAAATTTTTACTTGAACTTAATGCTGATGTCAATTATCCAGATGAACATAAACAAACGCCACTCATGCATGCTGTTATTCAGGTAAACGAAATCAAAAGTTTTTTTTTTTAGAAAAGTTGAAAACATGATTTCGATAAATAATTCTTAGAATATGAGCATAGAGTGTAAGTTATTCTTAGAAACTACATCGAACTTGTTGACGACAAAAAGTGAATGTTAATGGAGGAAAAAAATATTTCACAACGACAATAAATACCTAATCATTTTTAACTGTCCATTTCGTCTGTTAACGTTAGTTTTCGACTAAGTATTTTAGTTGATTTTTGAATGATTCATGTCTTCATTTGAACAATTGTTTCTTCAAAGTAACATATTTAAAAATGAAATGGAATTATTTCTAAAAATAATTCATACAAAAACGCTCATAAGTTTAATTAATAATTTAGAAACATTTCTACATCTGACAATAGGTTTTGAATTTTAAAAGAAAATGATTGGCATGTAATTTTGAATTGTCATTATTTAAAGCTAAACACTTACTGACAATTTTCAATTTATCTATTCAGTGGAACTAGGAGTGGTTGTTTAGGTTTGAATATCTTTTTTTTAAATTTTTCTATGGAACAACCTTTGTCAACAACACTCCTTTTCCTCGTAAAGCTCATACAAAAAAACAAATAGAAAAAAGATAATGACACAAATTCGATTCAAATGATAAATCTACTAAATTGGATTCCACTTCCTACAAATGCGAAAAACATACATTTCTTCTTTTTTTTCTTTATTCATTATGAATGTTATCTCATTTCTTTACCCTTTACATCTGAAGATTAATTTTTCATAATTTATTTTTTTTCTCTATAGAATAATATCGACATAGTTAAATTACTTTTGAATAAAAATTATTCTCCTGATGATAATCAAAATGAAACACCAACACATAAACCAGTGCGTTATCGAAAAGGACGACAACCTAAAGCTCGACAACGAAAGTTTTTTCTTGGTGTTACTACAACCGACACAGATGAAACATCAAATAATAAGAAAGCAAAAAAATTTCAAAAAACATCGTCAATTAATTTAAATGCAATTGATATTCATGGACGTACATGTATTCATCATTTAATTCAACCATTTTCTGACGGTTCATATACAAATAATATTGATATACTTCATTTATTACATTCTTGTGGTGCTTCATTAACAATGACTGATTTGTCTGGTTTAACACCATTAGAATATAGTATTAGAAATAATTGTCAACACTTACATGAAGAAATAACAAAATTAATTCGTAATAAAACAAGTGCATTTAAATCAACAAAAGAAAAATTTTATGTAAATGATCCAAATCAAAAACTTCTAGTTAAAACAGATTTTTATAATGATGCTCAAAATTTAATTAATGAATATATTTCAAATCATCCAGCAAATAAATCTAATAATATTGAATATAAAGTCGATCGATTATCTGGTATGAGTTTAACAGGTGAAGTTTTAATTGATACAGATAAAAATGAACCATATGATGTACGTCTTACAAAAACAGATGTTGGTTATGGTACATATGGATTATATAATTTTTATCGTATGCAAATAATTAAACATAAAAGTAAGAATAATTTGTACTTTTTATTCACACGTTGGGGTCGAATGGGTAATGCTGAAGGTCAACACCAATTAACACCATTTATAACATTTGATGAATGTCGAAAAGAATTTTTAAAAGTTTTTCGTGAAAAAACCGGTAATGCATGGAAAGATACAGATCAATTTCAAGCAAAACCAAAAAAATATTCACTAGTACAATTAAATGAACGTGAAATGAAAAAATATTCAAATGTACCTATTGATTTTGATCGATTACAAGCTGAACATGAACAACCAGCATCACAACTTCAAGCATCTGTTTATAAAAATTTGATGCGAACATTAATTAATCGTCAAGCTTTTCGCAATAATATACATAAAACTACATTAGATATTGAATGGATGCCTGTATCACAATTAAAACGTGAAACATTAGAAAAAGCACGTGATTTATTAATAAAAATAAAAGAAACAATTGAAAAAAAGAATAAATTTACGAAAGAAATTCAGCATAAAAGAACAACTGATCAAAAAAATGAAATAAAATCAATTTTGGAATCCATTTATCAATATACAAATGAGTATTATACATTAATACCATTAAATGGTTATGCTGATGAAAAGTTAGCTGTTATTGATGATGAAAATTCATTAAAAGCACAAGAGAAAATACTTGATGATTTATTTGAATTGGAATTATCATATAAAATTTTATTAGGTGCACAAGCCAATGTAAAATCTATTTCACCATTAGATTATTTATATAAATCAATGAATTGTCAATTTCAAGCTTTAAATAAAGATGATATTGATTCTCAACTTATCTTACGTTACATATGGACTACTGCACCTGATGTAAAAATAGAACAAATATTTAAAATTGCACGACCAAATGAAGATGAACGATTGATGAAATGTAATTTAAGTAACCATTGTTTATTATGGCATGGAACTGGTATTTGTAATTTAATTAGTATACTTACTCGAGGTATTTTATATTTATATTTATGGTTTTTGTTTTAATAAACCTTAGTAATCTCTAGTAATAGTTAAACAAAGATCGTCAGTTTAGGATCTAATCGTTTTTTTCTTATCAGTTGTTATTTTTTAGTGACAAAAAATTGAAGATAATTTTTTTCTTAGGTCTTCTCGTTGGATCTTTAGCAGCAAGAGCAACTGGAAGTTTGTTTGGAACAGTAATGAAAATTGTTATAAACAATAGATGAATTTTATCTTTTTTATTTTTCTAGGGAATCTATACAGCAGATACATTCGCAAAGAGTCTTGGCTATTGTTCCGGTGTTAAACAAAATGATGATGAACGATGTTTTATGCTTTTATGCGAAGTTGCTTTAGGTAAAATGAAAGAAGTTGGTGTACAACGCAATGATGAGGAGGAGGAAGAGGAAGCTGATGATGATGATGATGATAAACCACTTGATTTCAAACGATTTCAAAGTCGAAAAGGTGTCGGTCGACGTATACCTGATCCAAAACATACAATAACTCGAAATGATGGTTTGTTTGTTTATTTTTTGAAATGAAAAGATTTTCTAAAAGAATCTCTTGATGATTTTAGGTGTACAAATACCACTTGGTCAACTAATTGATAATAAAGATTTTGGTGGAAGTTATTATGGTCTTAATTATAATGAATATATAGTTTATGATGAAACACAAATTGCGCTTCGTTATCTTGTACAATTTCGTCGTTAGAACTTTTCCTTTTAAGCTTGATTCATCGTCAACATAATCTAGAGTTTTTTAACTTTTATCTTCACACTCTTTTATTTCGTAGCATTTTCTTTGACGCTTTGTTTGTTCTCTTCTTCTTTATTCTATCATGAAAATAAAATCCATATGAATATTAGCAAAAGAAAAAGAAAATGAAAATCTGACATTGTTCAAATCACTATTTGTCTAAATTATCAAAGAATATGTAGGAAATGGTTGTTCAAGAATATTTTCATTTTGACACAAGGATGTTGAATCACAATCTTCATCATCTGATTTTTTATCATCCCAAGTTGACCAAGAGATTTGAGAAGATTGTTTAACAGAAGAAGACTTACTAAATAGTAAATAAATAATATTATGAACAAAAATATCAATTAATTATATACATTTCAATAGATCGTGTATTGTTTAGTAATCGAGAAATCCAAGCATCATTTAATAATCCTGGTTGTTGTTTTTTGTTGAATAGACGTAGAAGATGCTGATAAAACTGATTGTTCTTGTGATTCTTCAGATTGAATCGTTTCATGTTTATTAAATGTAGGTGGAATAAAATGAGAAGATTTTGATATTTTTGACGCATGACTAGTTTGTCATTACAGCATAACCCCATTGATGTGGATTATACCGTTCCAATATAGACATTGGTGCAAGTGGCGATGGTTCTGCTTTAGATACTAAATGTGGTGATACCAATACCTAAATCAATTGAATAAATACATCACCGAACAAGAGTCTCTGTTTTGGACAATGTCACAAGGGACGTTCTCCAACTGTTCAGCAGTATCGAAGGGCACGAACTCTTTTCAAGATATCCATAACTCATTTATATCTACATATATATGTAATCTCGCAGTGCTATAGTCAGGAGTTTTTCAACTCATGAGTCGTTTCCAAGCTAAATCATTTTGAGAAATGGACAGTAATGAGCAATTAACAATCAATTGAGCTACAATTTTCTTAACAGTTATCTCCATCACAACAGCAAATGTTTATTGCAAAGAAGTTCGTAGCTCCGAGCTTATCACTCACTGTCTGTTCAAAACATATATTAGCCACAATGAACTTTGAGCACAATGGAATCGGTGATCAAGGAGTCTAAAATCCAGCAAAAGTGCGCCAAAAAAGCAAGTGACATTTCCAACTTCTCTGTTTGCCATACACTGCTTCTTCTAAACAGACGCTAACCACATTGAAGCTCTCTAAGAATGTAATCGTTGATCAAGGAGCACAGCATTTAGTTCATGCTTTACAACAAAACCGAATAGAGTTTTTCATTCAAATCAGATAGCATGAACTGATATTAAACTAATTCTCATGATATTGAACATAAAGATGTAGGTGTACTTACTAGTGCTTGTGAATGTTTGTAAACTCCGTTCAACCACGCGCGCTTTGTTTTAGAGCGACATTGTACGAGAATTTCAGTTGTGTTGTTTTTCTACCCTGTTGACTTTTGATGTTTTGTCTTTTTCTTTTGTGATACGATTTGAAACAGAAATAAGTTGTTTGCTTTGCATCGCTTATGAACACAGCGTTAGTAGAAAGCATAACAAGTATTGCTACAAACAAGCATCTTTTGAGTGACCTTGATTTCAAATGATGAAAGTAGCTTTCTATTGCATTTCGAATCTGTGCTGACTAGATGTAACCAAGCGGAATAATGGAAAGATATTTTCAGCGTGGCTATTAAATAGGAATTTGAAGAGTTTTGATTTCAGAAAAATAAATGCTTTGTATGAATAAAAAGATGAATAAGTGAGATCATCATCGAAAATGCCTTTACTATAGAATTGGGGTTTGAACACGAGATGCCACTATGCTAATATTCCGTAATCAGTGATTTATAATCGACGTCCGACGCATAAACAGATAGATGGGTAAAGATTAGTGATGGGATCGCTTCGTGCTTTCCTTGAACTGAACCGAGTCCAACTAAAAGCTCTCTAAATTTTCTATCATATCGCCAAGATATTAGACTTGAACTGCCCCTCATTAAGGAAAATTATTTTAATATCGTGTCATTTTGATGAAACCAGATTGCTGCAGTAATGTACACTCTACTTTTGAGATAGATAAAAACGGTTTAGAAATTATAGTTGAGTTTGTGAGATCTTTCTCACACTTATAATTTATTTTTGCATAAATTTCTATAATATTAATCTTTGCAACGATTAAAAAGTTACATATAGTATGAAAAAAAAGTGAAAAATGCTTCAAGTACCTTAAGGGTAAAGAAGAGTAGAAGGAGGAAAAGAAAAGTCCAACATATAAATTCAATCATAAAGAGAAGGAGAACAAGAGAATTGAATCATGGTCTAAGAAAATCTTATGACCATATCCAAATAGATACAGATAAAACATAGTTGACTCTATAAAAAACTTTTCGCTTTGAAAATGATTATTTTTTTCAAACCGAATTTATCCCTCTACAGAATTCGTAACAACTAATAGTTCCTCAATTGTTTAGTTAAGATCTCGTATTTTTAATGCAGATGTTCATTGATTTATTTAGCTTAGCGGTCATCAAATACAATGATATATAAAGAGTATTTTATATCGATAGAGACAATACTCTACCCTAATTTTATTGAAATTAAAATGGCTTTTTTTCTTTGGTTTCATAGAAATAGATCTATTTTTTAAATTTTTTGATCTCTCTAAATGAAGCAAAGAAGATTATTCTTTCCAGTAGTATATTATCTTTCAAGGATTCATGCCGTAGTAATCGAAAGTAGAAATTGGTTTTAGACAAATCAAGCCCACGTGTATTTTCAACAATACAAACTGCTCAATTATCCGTGTCAAAAGACAAGCAAAAAAAATTTGAGAGAAATAATATTTTATATGATTTCACAGTTCCTAAAAATATTTATTATTCATATATGTCTTCTCCAATTCTAGAATGCACATTGTATAACTAGGTAAGTCATATGTCAATGGTACTCACATAAGAAATCACCAATCTCTTTGTCATTTTACTCCACTACACTTGAGACGATGTAAGCCCTCTAAGTTTTATGCAAACAAGTAAGTTTTGTTTTATGAAGCACAGTAAACATTTTGATAGAGCAACACATTCTGTGTCAAATTAATACAAAGTCAGGTTACAAAACTGTTTTTAGAAACATTTATAGTGAACAGATTGCCATAGTATTCTCGATCACGCTGTAATTATTGTTCTAATTTGAAATATGAACTTACAACAGGTTCCAAAAATTAATGTTGAAAGGAGATCCCAAACATTAGAAAAAAATGTGAATGGAAGACATCACTATCCTTATCTATAATCCTATGTCCTGTGGTAGCATATAAGTCATAAATGAACATGTATTAAATTGAACCGTTTCAATTTTGTGAGTTTGAGATTGTGTATTTACTTAGTTCCTGGATTTACCACAAAATAATTGATTTCAAGACTTTAAGCGACTTCTTTGGACTTTACAAGACTTCCTACAACTTTGTGAGCTTCGTAAAGCTTCATGGCTTGTTCACAGATAACACGTCCACATTTTGAAAGCTGTCAATCTGCATTTTTCCAAAATAACTAAGGTTAGAGCTTCAAAACTTGGTACGAAGATGTACGGTGAAAAATTATTAAATGTCTATAAGTCTCGTCTCAGCTAACTTCATTAATCACGTTTTATAAGAAAAAGACATACTAATAATGCACTCATGAAAAAAAAATTTTTTCTCTGACAATGTCAAAAATGTTAGATTTCCTAAAACTGCTTTATATAGATATGTGGTCGAGAGCAGATTTGCAGCGAAGAACCTAGATTACCGTTAGGAAAAGGTGTTTTTAAAAGCATTCTATTGTTCTTGAACTATGCAGCATATACTTCCGTGACGTACTCACAGTTTGGTAATGTACTCCTGCAGGTAGTGAAAACTCTGTAAAAATCTTATGTTTACAAGCCTGACAAGGACAGAAGATAGTCCACTAATGCTGAAGTGTAGATTACACTTCAACATGACCATATGTTTCCATTTTTGTCAGAAATAAAATATTGTGTCAGTGTGGGTCGGAGAGATGTGGATGAAAAAACAAACAAAGAGTTATCGAACAAAAGCATGATTATACGATCATCATTCAGTACAAGAAGCCATAGATTGATGTGTCCTCATTCAGTTTATTTTCGAGAAGTGTGAATACAATATGTTGAAAACATCTGGAAGTAATCAATAATTATTTCATGATATTTTAAAATCGAAGTAAAGATCCAGATCGAACCTATTTGGGTATATACCTTCGTTCTAGAGATAAAATGATTCTAACGATGCGATACTAATATTGTCCTCATTGTTATCATTATTTGCGAGTTCACCTTTTCTTAATAAAATTCAAAAATTTTACTTCGTATATTCTTCTAGATCATTAAATCACATAAAATTGAAATATTTTAAAATTCATTATGATTATAATTCTTCTAATTTTGATACTTCAATAAATATTTTCCATCTAAGTCACCAACTGTTTTACATATAAGACCAAATAAGCGATCTTCTAATTAGATGACACATTCGTCAATTGAAATATTACTACGTGATGAAACGTTTTCTGGCGATGTTCGTTCATAAAATGGAATGAAACTTGGCTTAATTACTATTTAACGTTCTAAATAGACGACGAGTTCACGTAAAAACGTAGTTAATATTCCTGCCAACATGATTGCATTATCATCTAGTTGTTTTACATTATTGATCCACGGAAAAATAATGAAATTTTTATTAAGATCTGATGCTCCATTAAGACATGTTACTCCACCGTAACATTTTGATAAATTTGCAAAAGAAACGCCACGATGTTCGAATATATCTTTAATTATGCGATCATTAATTCCTTTTAATTAGAAAAAGAAAGTGTAATTTTGGAGGTGAAATCTAAATTAACGGATAGTCTAGATGAAATTGTCAAGGTTTGATAGGCTGTTTTTCTTAGTTCGGTTGCCTCAAAAAGTTTCTTTCTGAAGTTAAATGATGAAGAGTTTTATATACCCAGGTCGAAAAGTACCGGCCGGTTCCGGCAGGAAAACACCGGAAATCAACGGAACATGGAAGCAGTATTCCGGCCGGAAATTTTTCGGATTTTTTTCCGGTAGATTCCAGCCAATTCCTGTTCTTTCCGGCAGGAACCGGCCGGAAATCCGCCGGAAAAAGTCCAAAAAATTTCCGGCCGGAATACTGCTTCGATGTTCCGTTGATTTCCGGTGTTTTCCTGCAGGAATCGGCGATTTTTCCGCGTCTTTCCTGCCGGTTCCTGCAGTATCCGGTGACCGGAACGATCGACCTGGGTAGATATTATGGTTATGTTTTCATTGAACAAACATTGGGAGTTGTTTTTCTCTGGCCAAAAAATTCGATGTTATGAAAATATTAATGCGCAAAGTATTAAACAAAAGGTTTTCAAATTTAATTTTTGTGAAAAGGATATGGAACTGCGAGTTCACGCTTTAATAGAATTCAAAATAGAGTATAGTTCAAATTTTTTTCTTAGTACTAAAAAATGCAGAATTTTTAGCGCATTTTGTAACAAGTTCAACTTCATTAGTTAAATTGTTTCTCAATCAAAATCACAATAATTAAAGTGGACATCCAGTTGACTGAAGCGATACTTATCTCTAATGATTTTCTCAAAACAAGAACTTACCAAGATCATTTTCATCATACTAAGAGATGCAGAATTTTCAGCTCGACACAGCACTCCTATGACTAGCATTAAATTATATTTTCGATCATAAACTTAAGTCGAGATGTTTTCCTTGTGAATATAGATATAGTGAAAAGTAAGAATTAGCCGTATTTTACAAGTAGTTTTTAAAAATGTACAGCTCGCTGTTAGAGATTATAGCATTATATTATAGTATATTTTTTTCTCTTTCGCTTCTTTCGTCTCGCTTTTATTTCTTTTCCTAGATAATGATATCGTTTCTTCTTTTTAGATCATCTCTTTCTTTGATCTTATATCTGTTCAATCGTTGTCTTTATTATATTTTGTCCTTGCGTTTGAACCCTAGATATTTCATTGATATATATGCATGTTTTTCTCTGTTGAAGGTTAGATACAGATGTGTGTGTGCGTACATTTTTTTATTTGAAATAAAGAGAAAATGGATCAGTAAGAAACCTCTCATACTTGCTGACAAGGTTCATTTTATGTGTTCAGAACAGATGCTGTAGGCACTGATCAAGGAAAACTATCGAACTAGGAGAAAGATTCATCAAATAACAATAACATTTATCAAACTAAAGTGTTAAGCATGTGATGTTTCTAGAGTAGTAAACAACTTTTAATACTACAAAACGATGACATATGCATTTTAGACACAAAAATATGCAAATAAAATCCACATTAGATTGTTCATTTTTTAACATTAGGGCGAAACTTTTTCAGTCTACTTAACTTAGAAACATAACCTATCATACATTGACATTCTAATCTGGATAACCAGAAAAAGAAAAGAGATCTTTAAAAAAAAAAGATTTTTGTGTTAAGAAAAATTGTTCAAAAATTTTTCATCCTTCGAATACTTAATCAAAAAGAACATTTGTAGTCAAGATTATTTACTCATGAATCATCAAAAGTAATAGGTCAGTAAATAATTAGTAATGCATGCACACACGTTCCATATGATCTCACTGTTTTTTTTAATACATTTAATACTTGTAAAACGAACATCATCGATAAAATTAGGAGATTCCATTTACTTATTAACGAATGCCTAAAAGTATTTTGAACGAATCACATGGGAATAATTGCACGTAATAATTCAACTTAAATCTTTTAAGAGGGGTCAATTAGTAACCTTTTTATCAATGATATCATCTTTTAATATTGTTGAAAATAAACAAATATACTCTATAGTTATTGTTTTAAGTGATATAGTTGTTGACAAAAAACGTAATTGGTAGTAAAATATTATCATGATAAATTTAACTGATCATTTGCGGTACTTTCAAACTTTTCAAAAATATCCTGCTTTTGAATTAAACATAGTAAAGAACATTAACTCGAATGACTAGCATGATAACTGTGTCCCGTGAAGAAATAGTGTTGATTTATTAGAATAGATCAAATAATAAAATAATATGTTTTCAATAATTGTTGATCATTATCATATAGTTCATATATATATTTGTTTGCTACTGGTGAATATTCATTTGCAATCGATTTGAATTTCTATTTCATATCTAATGTAGTTATAACGGCATTCAAGTATTTTATAATGATATGATGATACCATTTAGTTGCGTTCATGTTAGGTTCGATATATAATGTATAATAGCTGCTATATCATTTAAATATACTCCTAAGATCATTGTTCTACAAAGACTGAACATTTCTATTGTCATCAAGTAGCGTTCAAAGATTTTGTATCTGTTGTTTTTCAGGTTGCAATCATTCTTTAGTAAGAGAATGAGTCTACTACAACAAGTGACCGTTCTTGAAGAAAAGGAGAAGTTGGTAGACAAAAAAATTTTAATTAATATATATGTCTATGAATGTATTTGTTCAGCCATTCACAAACCAGCAACAGTAATATATCTTCTTGTCGCTAGCTTGAAAAGAATAGAGGGGATAGGTATACGTATTGCCTCTATCTTTCGATTCTTAAAGTTAATGCATTATTAGATTTCGATTTCAGTACTTTTTTTGAAATTTTATTGCACCTTATGAGTTTAAAAATTACAATTTGATCAAAGTTTATCAAAAAAACCTCGAGCTTTAACCTAGCATTAATTATATCAGTTGATCCAAAGATGTTGATGGTGTTTAATAATTATTTAAAACAAAGTAGTAAATATGAGTAGCATTACCAGAAAATTCGGCGTCGTAGGACACGAGCGAAAAGGTCATCAACTATTCAATCTCTTTTGAGTCGAGACTATGTGGCTTATGTAGATCCAGATAAAATATGAATATCCAAACAAGAATTCAAATCGTTGGCTTAATGTTATGAAGATACTATACTTTTATAGTATGTTTGTCATGGCTGCTGTGTTCTTCCTCAAGAATACCAAAAACCCTTACTTTCGAATTTCGACTTGAAGTTTTGCATAGACATAGATCTTAATGAGAATAGTTTATTTTAGAAGTTTAAGGTCTTTTGACTTGCTTCTACCCTGAAATAAGAGTATGAAATCTGCTGGTTTATATGAGTTATGTAAAATGTAAGCTATTACAATAGTTCTATTTTAGGATAAGAACAGCGACAAGATCTGAAACATTCGTAACAATCTATTTTCGTTCAGACGTATCTCTATGGAAAAATTTCAAATCAAAATTGGCAAGTGCGATTTTCTGGTATTCTTGAGGGGAACACGGCGACTTTTATTTAAAACATACCGTAAAAGTGCACTACTTCCGTAGCGATAAGTTAGCGGATCGAACTCTTTTTAGAGTATACATAGACCATCTGAATCTGCATAACGCACAGTCTCGATTCAGTAGCGATTGAACAGTTGGTGTCCTTCTCTCGTGAGTCCTCAGTTTTTTTTTTGTCAAACTTTTGAAACTCATTACAATACGCGTTTTGAAGCATTATGTTGAATCTTCCTTTTGAATAAAGTAGCCAAACCAAATAGTTAACATCATTTGAGATATTTTCTCAAAAACCATTGTTATTAAAAGAAACAAAATGAGTCTTTTCTTGTATAAAATGTAAGTACACAATGATTCTCTGTTAGACTGGTTTTCTTTTGAGCAAGTGAGAGGATTAAAATGTGTTTTACATCGACACTTTTGCCTCACAATTACATCAGTTTTCACAAATTTTCAACGGTTATACGGAATTCTCTTATCGTAAGAGAAGTTCAAGTGTTTCATTCCTCAGTAAATTTCAAAATTAATGTTCTAAGAATCGTTTGGAATTTTTCTGTAAATCTTATAATTTCGTCATCAAAACTTTTTCTTCTGAACTTCATTCATTGTCAATATAATCTAGTGATTTTTAGTGATAATTTTCAGAGTTGATTAGTTCATAGTATTTTCTTTCACACTTTAGTTGTTTTCTTTTTTGGTTATTCTATCATGAAAATAAAATCCATATGAATATTAGCAAAAAAAAAGAAAATGAAAATCTGACATTGTTCAGATCACTATTTGCCTCAATCTTCAAATAATGCATCGAAAGAACTATCATCAAAATGAAATTTTGGCATTGGTTCTGAGTTTTTTGTTTCATTATCTATCTGTCGATGTTGACCTGCTGATTTGACTAAACTATGCCAATTATATGTTTGCTTTGTAGGAAGTGGTTGTTCAAGAATATTTTCATTTTGACACAAGGATGTTGTATCACAATCTTCATCATCTGATTTTTTATCATCCCAAGTTGACCAAGAGATTTGAGGAGATTGTTTAACAGAAGAAGACTTACTAAATAGTAAGTAAATAATATTATGAACAAAAATATCAATTAATTACATACATTTCAATAGATCGTGTATTGTTTAGTAATCGAGAAATCAAAGCATCATTTAATAATCCTGGTTGTTGTTTTTGTTGAATAGATGTAGAAGATGCTGATAAAACTGATTGTTCTTGTGATTCTTCAGATTGAATCGTTTCATGTTTATTAAATGTAGGTGGAATAAAATGAGAAGGTTTTGATATTTTTGATACATGACTAGAATTATTATCATAAACAGAACGTTTCATAGCTGTTGTCATTCCAGCATAACCCCATTGATGTGGATTATGTCGTTCTAATATTGACATTGATACTGGTGGCGGTGGCGGTGGCGGTGGTTCTGTTTTAGGTACTAAACGTGGTGGTACAAATGCCTAAATTAATTGAATAAATACACTAGTGAACAAAAGTCTCTATCAACGAAAGTAGCTTTTGTGAATGTTTCTAATGTAAGATACAGCTGCGGTATTAATATGTCTTGCATATCCTTCATGTAAACTAATAGATCTAATCTTCTTATTCCAGGATAGAAGCAAGTAAAGCGACCTGAAGTGTTCCCAACAAGCAAATCTCATGCAGATCTCTGTCTATGCCAAGTTTCAAGTCAATAATTCAAAAATCATTTTTTAAGAACTGCGGTATTTGTTTAAAAAATATCGTAAAATTGTAGTACCTTCGCAGAAAGAATCTAAGGGTACGAACTCTTTCCAAGGTATTCATAACTTAAATGGGTTTATATAATATACATAGTCTTGACTCAAAATCGATTGAATAGTTGGTGAACTTCTCTCGTCAGACATTATAAGTTCTAAGTGATTGAAAATTTGTGTGCACATACTTCGTCAAGAGTGCAAATCAGAGGCACAACTCTATTTTGATAGCTTAAATACAAGGAGAATTATCATGAATGGCAATAGATAACACTCATATAACCTTTGAAGTTTATAACTCTGGAAAAATACGAAGTTTCTAGCTCAGCTAACGGCTCACTTTATACGTTTTATCCCAAGATCCACAAAACTATTTTCATTGAAGTTCATAAATACTCTTTAGTAGCACGGTGGCCATTGTAGTGTAACTATTGACGTGAAGAAAAATTATCTAGTATCCTTTTTAGGACAAGACTCAGTAATAACTCACTTAATTAATCTTAAGCCATTAGGGAAGCCACCTCTATAGGTAAACATTAGTATCTACAAGTTTCATCAACAAACTATGCATTGATGAAATGTAGCAAAGCAATGACCATCATGTTGATAAGGCAGAAGATTTAAAAACATCCAGAGATTCCAGTATTTGGGCTAATAAAGTTGTCTTTTGAATAAAGAATGAACAAGACGAAACTTCAGTTTCACTTAAAATCATTAAGAACTAATCATGTAATTTATGTCTCTGACGAAGTATGTACAATAAAACTCTCAGGTCTCCGGCATTTATAATGGCTGGGATTCTTTAGAATGAAGACTTTGGTCCGTTAATGTAATTAGAAATGTTTGACTGAAAATGATATGTATACATACTGCTGATTTTGGTTTATTTTTCATTGTTGGATCATTAACAGCAAAACTTGGTCGAGGACAAGGTTGATTATCATTATTACTTTCTTCAACAGTAATTAAGTATCGATCAGTTTCAAATTCTCTTCCAGGTTTTATCTGATATTTAAAAAGAAAAATTTTGATTTCATTGATATACTATATATTTTACTTACATCATCAATACTTGAATAGAAAACAACATCAATTTCATGTTTACCAGCAGATATCAAACGTGCCTAGAAAACTTTCATTTATCACAAAAACTAATTCAAAAACAAATTATTTATTTATACCGAATTTAATGTTGCACGTGGAACTAAATATCCATCTAGCCATATTTTAACTTTCTTTGTTTTTTGCTCTGTATAAAGAACCTTTTTTTACACCTTATAATCAAACCTATTAAACATAAAATATCACTTACAGGTATTTGATTAGACATAATTCATGTAATCTAAAGTTATATCGTAAATGGATATATATTACTCTGTTTTTTTTTTATAAAAAATAGTCTTTATATATTAAAACAAAATATTGTTTTACAAATGAAACAAATTGAATAACAAAAAAAGAAAATAAACAAGCGTAAGAATTCTATTGCACATAAACAAAAAAGTTTTTTTTCGTCACATTTATATTATGATAAATCGAATTCGATCCAAATCGGACAATGATCACTAACTAAACCACCCCATGTCCAACCAGCAGGAATCCACATACTTGTTAGATTATCTCGAATAACACCTGAGTTTTCTAAAAAAACAGAAAAAAAAATTGATTACTTTTAATAAGAACATGAAATCTTAACCTGTAGTTAAAGCTTTTGCCTCAGTTGAAAGCCAAATATTATCAATACATGTAGATCCTTGTGGTGTTTTCATACTAATATTTGTATTTTGTTTAATAACATATGAATAATTACGTTGAACTAATGCACCGAATTCTGATGCTGTTGGGACAATGTTAAAATCACCAAAGATAACTATATGTGTTTGTTCTTAATAAGACAAGAGAAAAAATATTATTATTATCATTTCTTTTTTAGTATAAATATATATTCATATTTTACCAACAGTATCATTCATAGCTTCAGCTAATATTGATATTGATGCAGCTTCATCTTTTGTTCTTTCATTTTCATTTTCATCTAATCTTCGTGCTTTTAAATGTACATTAACAAAAACAAATTCATATTTATCATATATACGAAATATAACAATATAAGGAGAACGTGTAAAATAATTTTTAAATGGTAATAATGATGCTTTTTTTAATTCAATTCCAATTGATTCATCATAGATAAAACCAAGATATTCATTTCCCTTTTAAAAAAACATAAAAAGAACACAGCTATTAGCATAACTTTGTACGAGAAAAAAGTATGATACATGTCCATTGTAATCTGTATTTTATCGAGATTTTTTTCTTCAGAACGGCTGATTTAAAATTCCGAAGAGACAAACAACTATTTAAGAGAGCGTAGACAAATTGCATGTGATGCAATATAATCACAAAACTCTAGAAAGAGCACAACCGGCAGACTGTGCGAAACTAGGTGGGTATTAGATGAGAAATGTAACTTCTACTTCTTTTATGACTTACACTGAACAACATACATTTTAATGTATGAGTTATTGAATAACATAAAAATCTTTGTTCCTCTGGTTAGGATTAGTCGAAAAACGTCACTAATAAGTATTAGAAGCCTTTCTATTGTGAATACGGAACAATTACGACAAAACATCAGCAAAAGAAATTATGCATCATCTGAAACCATGTTTTTCACTCAATCGATTCGTAAAAAAGACTTTCGTGTTTATCGGTTTAGGATTTAAAAAAATTCATTTTTCATTAATATCAAGTGCTCTGACAAAAACATGTACAAAACAATGGTTTTGGGATTGGTCAACAATTCGTATTTGTTAAGTGTTTTTTGATCTACTACAACTGATTTTGAGATCTGAGTTTTGAATTAGATAAAAGACAAAAATAAATGCAGAAAAAGCCTTCAAAGTTGAGCATAATTGGTATTATGAATTGCTCGAAGTCCGGTTATTCTCAAGACTGAAAATACTGTAAACTCCGATTAGAAATTCAAAGAATTAATTATGTTTAGTTTTGAACGCTCTTTTTGAACCTATTCTTATGTTTTGTATAATGTAAAACACAGGTCTTAAAATGAGTGGGTATTGATCCAAAAAAAAAACTAAAAAATGTGAATCCTACACATATGCCCAAACTTTCATGTTTTATTTCATGATTTTCGATCACAATTTCGAATAGAGCAATCATGGTTGATATTAGGGGTGTCAGCGTTCCCCGTTCCTCGGCGTTCCGTTCCTAGGAACGGGAACGCTTGTCAAAATCGGATTTCCACGCTATATTTCAACATGGCGAGGTCTCTAGACACATCTACTTTTCTTTTTATGTTTGAGTGTTCAGCGTTCCGCGTTCTCAGGAACGGGGAACGCTACCCCGTTCCGCGTTCCCAGGAACGGGGAACGCCACCCCGTTCCGCGTTCCCAGGAACGGGAATGCTACCCCGTTCCCCGTTCCTGGGAACGGGGAACGCTGAACACTCAAACGTAAAAAGAAAAGTGGATATGTCTAGAGACCTCGCCTTGTTGAAATATAGCGTGGAAATGCGATTTTGACAAGCGTTCCCGTTCCTAGGAACGGAACGCTGGGGAACGGGGCACGTTAACATCCCTAATTTTTATGAAATTGGCTTTCCTTCGGTGAATTAGTAAAATTTCTGTTAAAAGTGAAAGAAACGTATATTGCGTTCCCATTCCTAGGAACGGAACGCTGAGGAACGCGGAAGCGTTCCCCGTTCCCAGGAACGGGAACGGGGTAGCGTTCCTCGTTCCTAGGAACGGGGAACGGGGTGGCGTTCCCCGTTCCTAGGAACGGGGAACGGGGTAGCGTTCCCCGTTCCTAGGAACGGAACGCAAAGTTGACACCCCTAGTTGATATAAACAATCCATAGGAACTACATTCTTAGTAAGGAAAAAACATCATCTTTAACATCATGTTCTAAGAATTGCTGCATCACTACACGTCTACGGTCTCTTGGACTTTCACATTAAATATAACACTGATCGAAATCGAATGAATTTCGTAATATGTCTGTTTATATTGTTTGCAAGAGTGGAAAAGAGGGACATGCTTATCTTATTTTTTTTTGTACCTTATCAACATTCGATTAATTCACCATAGATTCAACGATAGGTCAGTATGGAATTTAATACTTATTGAGAGTCATATTTCACAATAACCTTGCTACGGACTATGATTTTTGTTATTATATATCGATCTTTTTCAACTTTTCTTTTATCTCGGTCTTTTCTTTAGTCTCAAAACTCTTACTTGAAACATCCGACCAGAAACATCACTAATTGTACATTTCCATTTTCCATGATGGCGGTTCTGCCAATCTTTAATTAAAGGTATTGTGGGATTATTTAATTCTTCAATTATGTAACTAAGTGCTTCTTTATTTCCTATTTCTTGAATACCAATTAATGAAAAACTAAATGAAGAGAGAAAATAACATAATGTTATCAAAAACCATTATCATTCGTTTTACTTATGTTCAAGAATAGTTCGACAAATAACTTCTTTTACACCTGGATTTTGCACTTTATCATTTGTTAATTGTTGTAAATTCCATGAAGCAAAACGAAAATATGTTTGTTTACTTTCACATGTTGCTAATGGATGTTGTGATGATGTTGATGAAAGAAGTATTGTCTGTAATTCTGGTGGTAAAGTTTCTAATAATAATGATGCTAGAGAAAGTGAATCTGATGTAATATTATTATTATTTTTATTTAATGTTGGATAAAGATTATTAACAGATGGTTCAAGTATTGATGATTGACTAACTGATATTGGTATTTGTCGATCGTCAACAGTAATATATGAACGAATACTAGCTAATACAATATAATTAATACCTTTTATTTTAAGTAAATCTTCAACAAAACGAAATGGTCCTTTTCGTTCACGACGTTCAATTATTCGTTTAATCAGTATTGGTGTTAAACTAGGTATTGTACATAATTGATTGTACGTGGCTGAATTAATGTTAATATATTCTTGTTTATTATTAACTAAATTTGAAGAAGATGAATCAATAGTTATATCAAAACGAATAAGTTCATATAAATCATGATTTATTCCCGTTATGTATAAAAGTTCATCGATTCGTTTAAAACCATTATTTAATTGACGATATCGAATTATATGTTGAGCTATTTGACGATTAATACCAGGTAACATTAAAAACTCATCTTCAGATGCATGATTTAAATTAATTGCATTATTATTATTATTGCTATTATTATTATTATTTGTATCTATTGGAATATTTGATCTTGTTGGATTATGCTTTGTTTTTGTTAACAAATTACGAAGACGACGTAGTGTGTGTATTGTGTCAATTCGAGATGGAAAACAACTATTTGCACCACCCATACTAAATTTTATTCAGTAGATTTTTTCGACCTATCGATAATTGATATATATCTAAAGAATGATGAAAAACATAAAGGAAATGTGTTTATAATTTATTCTATGAATGAATAAATATATGGAAGAGAATATACCAATGAAACATAAAATATCTATATGATGAATCTATATGAGATTTTTCATTCGTTTTTTTTTGTTTCTGTTGTTGGGTAATCCCAAGATGAATGTCTTGTAATGTCGAAGAAAGATAAATATGGTTAATAGAAAGAGAATAGATAAGGTTACATTGATGATATGTACTGTAGTTTTGTCAAAAAAGAACGATGCATAAAAATATTCGTTGAGTGTCTACATATAAAATGAAAAATGACAAATATGTGATAATTATAGATAAACAACGGTTGCTGAGCCATGTAAACGAGAGTCTGTCGAGTTCAATATCTTCATTTTTTTCTCTCATACCATTATTTATCATGTAATCAAAGTCTCTGATCACAAACATATACTTATTATAGTAGTCGGAGTTGCATTCATCGTTTTTTTTCTTTTATAAAGACAAATCAATGACATATAACTAACAACGATATTTATAAGCACATAAAAAAGATACGAAAAAAAAAAGAAATAAATACATGCATGTACACGCACAGAAGTTTTATCGATAATTGACATTAAAAAGAAAAGAAGTTCGATGAAAGCAACAAAAAAAAAATAAAATTTTCTTACAAAAATAATCATCACAGTTAATAATGATCGTTTACAACGAGAGGTCATTTTTTCTCATATCCTCATTAAAAACCATACCGAATCATACAAGATTATTCCATTGTTCTACAGAAAAGTTATTTGGCAAGCATTGTCTTGGTTCTTGTAATGACAACTGATCGAGTTGTTTTTTAACATGACAATATTCATAACAATGATAACGAAGACAAGTAATTAATATACAGACTGCTACTAAAATAACACATACAGGTCTATTAACATTTGATGAACAACTATACAAAGGTACACAAAATCTCGAAGATTCATTCGATAATGATGGATCATAACTATCATGTGATGTTTCAATATTAAATAATATGTTCACTTCTGCCTTTTGTGTTTGATTCCGCAATTGATTGTTGGTTTTTATATTTATAGACTCGGTAGTCTTTATTTCTATCAATAACAAAACAAATGTTTATTTTGATACTTACTAATCCATTACAAGAATAACCACTCACGTAATAAAAGAAATAAACAACCAATTAAAATATTCATCTCAGTCAGTTAAATTTTGACACAATTCATAAAATACAAGTACTGCAATAAAAATTTCGTACTTTTTTCTTTCTTTTAATCAGGTGTCATATCCATAGAAAGCAATTGATTGTTATGTAGCTAAACAATCATACCGAAAAGAAAAAAAGAGAAAGAAAGTTCTTATAATGTCTTCCTAGATATGAAATCTAAAGACTACTTTTAACATACACTAATGGGAAAGAATAATAGAAACATCGAAAAAGAAAGATTAAATGTCAATAAATTTAAGTGTTGCTGTAAAAAGAAGTACTCTTGTCAAACAAGTTTGTACTACAAAAAATAAAATATTTTCTATTTAAATGCAAATAAAAATTGAACCATCGAATTTACCCTATGATAAAGATCATTACAATCAAGTCTATCTATCAAATTTTCATGTATTGTTGTCAAAAATTGACCTTATCAAGAATAATCCATAATATTAGTTTTATTTGAGTACATAGAAAACAATACCAATTTCAATCAACTATAGAAGAAAGGTTGATAGTTGAACATTAACATTTGACATTGTTTCTACTTCATAAATGACGGCTATGAAATTGAAATGAAATATTCCATTGTAACTGTCTCATGATTAGTGATGTACAATTCAACGTATAGTCGATATCATTATGGAAAAAAAAATATATATTTCTTTTCTTTTATTATCAATCTGCCAAACAAACTTCATATTGCCAAAAGCTTCAATTAAATTGCTTGTATAACACTCAAGATACACATACTTCTTCACCACTATTTATATACGTAAAGAATAGTAAATGAATTGTATGCTTCAGGTAAAAAGAATATGAATAGAAAGTCTGATCATTTTCATAAATATCTACTTTTAATATTAATGTATAATTAGAAGCTCTAAGACAATCTAAGTGATTTTATTTTATCGGATCTCGAAAAATATTATTCATTATAATATGATGAATTTTTTTATAAATGATATCATCCAAAATTCAAAAGTATAACACTATATACAATTTTGACAAGTCTAAACATACCTTTACTATTATTAAATTTGGTTGATAATTGACACCTATCACTTCGTTTTTTTTTTGGAAACAGAAACCAAACAAATACTTGTTATACACTGGATATTTTCTATTACAAATCGATTATGTTATCGACAGATAGCACTAGAAATTCCAACATAACCAATATGTCGACATCTAGCAAAATAAATAATAGGTCATAGAAGTGAACGAATCAATTTTAGAAAATTTTTATCAAAACAAACGAAATAATTTTTTATATTCGTAATTGAAGCATTTTAAATAAAATATTCATGATAAATTAAATTTTTTAATGAAAAGGTGAGTATTTATTTTAACTCTTAAATAATCATCTAAAATGTTATATGATACCTTAAGAATTACTTCTTCAAACATGTTTTATGATTGTTTTTCGACCTTAATATTTATTTACTAACAAATACATCATGGATTGTTTTTTTCTTTCTTTCTCTCAAGATAACAAGTCTCACTCCATGTATATATATCTATACCTTTTCTTTTACTTTTAAGGTATTTATCTATATTTATTGTATTATTCACTGCAATCAATTATTCATTATTAACGTGTAAAATGTCATCAAAAAGTTTAGAAGCATCATCATCAACATATTTACGGTTAAAAAATGAACGTGGTCATTGGAATGGTCAAACACATAATCCTGCTATTGACAATTTTGATGGTGAACGTCATCAAGCTATGAATGAATTACAAAAACATCTAGGACAACCAAATACATCTGCTGATGAAATTCAACGTTTAATGGGTACACCAACTAAAACTCTTGATAAACCTGATTTAGTTCTTGACCATGAATTTCGACGTATGAATGATAATTATACATATCCAAGCGATGCAAAAATTTGGATATATGAATGGCGTGGTAATCATGATTATGTATATTTTGTTATATCAAAAGATAATAAAGTTATACAATCCGATTGGTATTTTGCATACGAATAAAAAAAATAAATATTTGGTATATGTTCGATTTTTTTTTCTATCAACATACTTTATTTTGTTATTACGATTGATTTTTTATCATACGAATAAATGAATAAATAACGGCAAGAAAAATAAAGAGAAAAAGTAATACGAAAAATACATAAAAATTTTTTAGATTTGTTTTCGACTTAGATGAGTCAGTTATTTCTTGTTGTTGAAAACTGAATCTTCGACCATTATTTAATGATGAACGTCGAGATAGATCAAAAGTATCAATAGTTGATGAAGATTTTGGAATGTTCAATGTATGCCGTCTAAATTATAAAACAACAGGAAATCAATTGTTTCAAAAATACAGAAAAAAAAATTGAGTCAGAACTTTTTTCGTCTGGATGAATAACGACGATATTCCACTTTAGATGATGATGTGCGCATTTATAGACATCAATTTATCTCAACTATTTTATTTTATTATATTTCTAATCGTGACTTGTCCTCAAGTGATGATTAGATTTTTTATCCTTGTGCCATTTGGATAATGAATAGATACGAAAATATATACAATGACAACAACACAAAAAGAGACACAAAAAAAAAGAAAAGATGTATCAGAAAACAAGAAATTGGACACATGATGACGATCAATATTGGTGGTACTTGACACTGGGAAACAATTCATCAAATAAATGAAGGATGTCTAAGAGCTGTAACTATCTGTTGTCCCTCTATTCATGCTTATGTACACGACTTTCTTTCACACAAGTTATACCGATCATGTATAGAACACCCGTACTATTCATCAAGCTAACGGGAGTTGCTAATATTTTTCTCGTTGTATGTCATTCATATTATAGCCTATATATGTGTATATAAATGGAAAGTTCTGGCACATAAAATACCTAATGTATACTAGTTTATCACAATCATCGCACAATATATTTGTTGTCTGAATCTGTCTTTAGGGGAAAAACACGTTGTTTAAATTGTTGATGATCATTGATAAGAATAAGATTAACAAAAAGAAAAACAACACATATCCAGATTAAATACCTACTGATTTAAAATAGTTGTTCTTGTCGATGAATCCATCAATTTTATTATATATCTTGATAGGTATACTATCAAAAAATTTATACTCTTTTAAAGTCTAAAATAAAGCTGTTCGTTCTATACTTTCTGTAAAAAAAATAATAAAAAGAAACAGAAATACGATACATACGGTAATGATTAATTTTACTTGTTAATGATGTATCGATAAAAAAATCTGTCACATATTTATTTTGAAACTCTTCTGGTTCCTTTTTTCTTTTTTTTACTCTAACTATGAAAAAATTGTTGTTTTTTCTTTATTTGTTATTAGAAAATGAGGTTCTTTCAAGCTTCTGTCTTCAATGTGATCGCACAGACACATATGGTGATCGAGAAGCAAATGTTATTCAAGATAAAATAAAAAAGAAAAAAAAAAACAACAAAAAAGAAAAACGTGATGACGTGACAACGCAAAGACGTACATGTTGAATGATTATGAGTATATGACATCTATTAACATACCAAAAAGCATAACCGATCTTTAAAGATAAGTCAAATGCAGACAAAGAAGTGTAAAGAATATTTTATTATAAAATCACCCATGCTTATTCATATTCCTGAATATCAAACGAATATATAAACTAACGTAGTAATTTTATATCAGAAAAGACAGAAGAAAAGTTAATCAATTCAATATGTTTTACTACTTAAAGTGCACTTCTTTAGGAGTATCATGCTGATATAAAAGACAAAGAAAGAAAAGAAACCTAATCATAAAAAGAACATACAAACATCATAAAATGCTAAAATTTATTAACTATGTAAATCAATGAATGATTGTTTTATGTCAAATATTTCTCAAGAGAAATGAAAAAAAAATCATTATAATTAAATTTTGACATACTTTACCTATGTGCAAATAAGTTATCATTTTCATCAGATTGATTTGAATTTCGACGATTTTCATTGTGAGACATTACTATTGAACTTTGACGTCTTGATGTTGTTGTTAACTCAGATGATTGAATAATTGATTGAGATAATTCATTTGCTGATAGAGTTGTTCGTCGTCTATGTCGCCTAACTTGAAAAGATCTCATCCTTACTTTATATTATTCTAAAACAAAAGAAAAAGATACAAAAATAAATTTTAAAAATCAATAATAAAAGTACATTGTCACAATAATAAATAGATGAAAAAAAGAAGAAAAAGAACAACAACTAATTAACAAAGGTTTTTCTTCTTCTGTTTTGTGTTTATATTTAAATAAGAAATATTGAGTTGTCTTCATATCCTGTCAGTATGAAGTATTGTTGTGTTCTTAGACTTCATTATAAAGAATGAATAGAAAACAAGTCTTTGAGGAAAGACAACCCAGACTTATTGTTGTTCTCGTCTTAACGATCGGTTTTTTAGGGCGTAGAAAAGAGAAAAACACAATCTAAACTTGACGTTCAACGAAGAGAGAAAAGAACATTGTGCGCATGCAGAGTTCTACTACGATGATGATAATAGCGGCGAGTGTTTATCATTTTGTGATGTTTTATAATTAAAAATCATTATGAATTCAACTATAAGTTATAAACAATTTTTAGTCACGCAATAAATAGATTTAATAGAAAATACAAAAAGAATAGACATTAATAAAAAATATGTTTAATTGTAACGTTCTATGAATATCAATTCATACGATCAATGAAAAGTAAAGTTAATTCACTTTCTCAATTATAAAATTGTTTATCTGTTTTGTTTAATGTGTTCATTCATATTTATTTTGTATTTCTGACTGATAATGTCAATAGATAATTATGAAATGTTTCAGATAAAAGTGTTTTTATTAACGCCTATTCTTCGGTTTTTTGTGTATAGAGACCTAATGGTTGATGGCATAAATATGATAAAAGAAAATCTCAGCACTTACTAAATTGGATCTTTTGTTTCAAATAGTATGAGCTGTTTGCTCAGATTAGTTAGTTTTTATTATTATATTTTACTTAAATGGCACCAATAAGTGCATTCTTGATTTTTCTATTTTCGGTTAATTTACTGCGTTAAGTTTCTTCTTTCATTAATTTTACTTTAAGCAAAATAAAGATATTTTTTCTTGATTAGGGTAAAGGTAAGAAAATTTATCTCACAAGGAAATGTTTTCAACCGATCAGTCGCTTTTGCATTTGAATCATGTGCATAAGATAGATTTCAGCAAGATAATATCAACACACCAAATGATTATCCTTCGATGTGAGATTTTGTCCATTTTTTAATAACTTAATATTTCGGGATGAAAATTTTCTTTTGAACTGAAATTTCCATGGCCTGTGCATAAAATCTCAGGTCGAAATATTGTCTTCCCGTTTGTTGGTATATACCATATCAGAGAATAATACTCTACTAAAACGTCTGTCAAGGTACTGGATAGAAAAAAGCTTACCCTGCATTTCTGTATCCTCAAGCTTACATTGTAGCAAGTAGAATATGCATGGTTTTCAATAGGGGGAAGTAATACGGACTAGCGTCCCTCCTCCACTTTTCAGCATGTCTGCGAAAGTTTTTTGCTTTGATTAAGCTTCTGGCAGATCTGTCCGACAGTACAGATTACGTATCGAACTTGTGCATATTATAGATTGTCTGTTAATTTTGACAAGCATAATGTCTATTGGATTTTCTAAAAAGTACAGCTAAATTAGTGACATCAGAACAAGTTGTGCTTATCTTCAAAAAAAGTAACACCAAGAAGAAATTTTAATGAAAGCTGGAATGAATGCATGAGTATAATTAAAGTAGATTCTGCAGAAAAAAGAAAAGCAAATGATAGTTAATGGCCAACTAGTTATACATATGATTAAATTTGTTTTCACGTCTTAATTTTGTGCACTCATGCATGGCTATTAGATCGTTATCTACAAAGATAATTTGTCCGAGCTGCTGTAAGAAAATTGGAAAGTAATACAATCATTAAAAATATATAATGGCTGAAGAAACTATTCAAACAAAATATAACCTAATATAGGATTTAAATATAAGAAGAAAACAATGTCAAGTTATTTTTTTCTGCATTCACACAGAAAGAGAGAAATAAAAGTTATGCATGTGTAAAAAATTGAGAATCATCCTAATACAGTCAGTGTGCACATCTATCTTCAGCACGAGTATCTTCCAAAATTGAAATCCTATGTTTAAATTCTCTCTCGTTTCAATCACATTGTAATATATTGATGTTGTCTGTTAAAAAGTGTTTTATTTATATTGTTAAAGTTTCTAGACAAATATTTGTTCACAGTTGACCCGTTTTGAAAAGAATTTTGTCTATTTTTTTTCTCGAAAACGATAGCAGAATCTTTTCAAATCTTGAAAAATTAATTGAGATGATGAATATATAGATTCTTACAAACATCATAAATCCTTTTGCGAAGATACACAAAACTACTGAACCGGATAATTTTGTAGAGCGAACACTTATTTACAAAATTTGATATCAAACTAAACTATTGCTTTTATCCAAGTGAAGCTATAAGCATTGTATACGGAGCTATTTTTTACGTAAAACGTCGTTTCGTTCAAAAACTGATTTTTTCCGAAAATAAGAGCGATATAAAAATAGCTGTTTAAGGGCTTTATCGGAAGACAAAAATGAATACAAATAGTACACTTTATAGGGTGGATTTCTCTCTACGAGCTGATATATGAAGTAGTTTTTAAAGCCTTTCGAAAATCCTTTAATTCCTCTCGAGCGAAGACAGCCACACAATGTCTGAGCCCACATTTAAAAAAATTAGAAAATTTTGATTTTGGCACTGAGTGTTTAACATTGGTCAAAAATGAACAAACATTTCGTTGAGAAACTTTTCCTCTGTCTGTTGGCATTTATACAAGCTTGTAAAGAACACAATTCAGCAGAAAAAAACTTTCACTTTCAGAAGCATGATATTGTTCTACTAATTGTGTTACAATATCTTCTCCGATCAATGGAAAATACTAAAGGTTTCACACAAAATGTTATGCAAAAAAGAAATACGCTCTATTATTTTCTGTCGGATTTGATGATTTTAAAAGATAATATAAGAGCTTTTTTAGAGGAGTTTTAAAATTTATCTGTGACGTAAATTAAATTTTTATAGCTACTCTAGAAGAAATTTTATGTTGATTTCAACTAAAGGAAGCTTGAATTGCAATATTCACTGTAATCAATAAGTCCAAGAGAAATTTTGCTATAAATAGAGGCTCATATTACATAGATGTTTCTCAGCTGCGAATCTAAATCACTATTCATAATCGATTTTGAAGTACCATCAGTATGTCATGTTTATCAATGAAATAGATTCATGATGCTTCTAATAGGCATGTAGAAAAAGCAATGATGATACTCGATGATAAGCCGACTTTAAATTGTGTATGACCTTTTTACTTTATTACTAAGGCAAGAGTGCGAATAGTTAATTTTATAGGTATAGCAAATTATGTCTGATTGTTTTTTTCTTTGAAAGATTCAAATTCAAGACTAAGGAGAGCCCATACAGTCAAAATCATGAATAGATCACGATAAAAAAAATAATAAAAATTTATTGCTAATGACATTAACAGTTATGAAGTTAGTGAGAAGACAAAAAAAGACGAATTACCTCACATTCAAATAAGAATAATATTTTTCAAATACTCGTCAAATAAATGATGGTGCTTTTTTAGTACGGTAAGTCTATCTATAAAATTTTCATTACATCAGATTTTTTTTCAATTTTGTTCGAAAGATTCAGTCTCATAAACCAACAGCATGCTTTTGTATTTCTTTTCTCCGTCGAATTAAAATAATCATATGAAATTCATTTGAGTATTTCGAATGTTATATTCTCAAGAATTGTTTCATGGTTTTGTTTTGCATACAAAATGGTTTTTATCTTTGATAGATAGTAATATTCAATCTTAACTTTTAAAATTGTAAGTACATTCATGTATAAATATCGTATCACGTTTTGCACAGAACAAAATTTTGAGTCTACAGTTTTTATTTAATCATGTATCACATAATTTTGATATTCAAGTTAGGAAATAACTTCACATACCAAATACATATGCAAAGAGGTAGGCCGAAATTTTTTGGACTACATACGTTTTTATTCATTTATAGACGTTATTCCAAAGAAGAAAAAAGCGACAAAAACTACACTTTAGATGATTTTGTTCTGGAATTCACATGGTGATGAAAAATGTGATGTTGCGCTAATATCTTTTTCAACGTGCTAATGCATTACGTGCAGCAGTTTCTAAAGCTTTTTCAACATTTGTACCTTCTTTAGCTGACGTTTCAAAATATGGAATATTGGATTTCTCTAAACGAGTGAAAAAATTCCCGATGAATAATTTTTTTATTTCTTGGCTTTACATACCTGCACACCAATTAAGTGCCTCCTGTGCTGAAATCTACATAAGTAAAAAGTAAACAATAAATAAGTTTAAATATTAAATAAAACTAACGATACGATTATCAAGATCAGTTTTATTTCCAATTACCTATAAATAAATATTCTATATTCGAAAAGTTATAATTAAAATATATCTACTTACTACAAAGGGAAAATTTTCTGGATCACGTGGTGCGACTTGCTAAAAACAAGAAGCTATTTAATTTTGTATTAATACAACAAAAAATAAGAATCTATGACTTACAGTAAGAAATTCATCTCTCCAAATATCTAATGATTTAAATGAACTTGCTGATGTAACGTCATAAACAAGTATACAACAGTCAGCTCCACGATAAAATGCAACACCTACACTTTGAAAACGTTCTTGACCAGCTGTATCCCAAATCTATATTTAAAAAAAACGATTTATTTTTCTAAATATACTGCTTAAAATCGAATATAATTACTTGCATGGTAACAAGATGATCATCAATTTGTAATTCCTTAATTAAGAAATCGGCACCAATTGTTGCTTTATATTGATTTGAAAACTTATGTGATACATATTGTCCCATTAAACTTGTTTTACCAACACCACCGTCGCCTAAACATAGCAAAAAAAAACAGATCTATTTGTTAATTAAATAATAGGTTTTTATTTTTTCATACCTAATATAATTATTTTAAGTATAGCTTTTTTTCTTGCAGCCATTTGACGAGTTTAGTATAAAGAAATAAAATGTTAAAAAAAAGTAATGAAATAATATCTGAAAAAAACCAAGTAATTTTATCTATCATTTTAATTTGCTCTTTGGCTATGAGTATAGGTGTGGGTATGGCTCTGACAGTTCTTTTCAAGCTCCCACTAAGAACCATCATCCACAAACACGCACACATCAACGTCCACATCTAACATCCTCGATGTCGATTAGTCTAAGAAATAATGGCATTTTGGCTGAGCGTTTTTTAGCCCAGAAAGACAACGAGATACTATTTTTTGGTCGAATAAAACGACAATGAGATGAAATGCCTTCTTTGTGTTCGAATTGATGTCGAAATGATATCGATTATACATTTTTGCAAGAGCATGGAGTTCTGTGGAGAAGTCTCACACCGACAAAAGAATCGTCTTTGTATGTAGTTGATCAAGAATGCAATAGAGTATGTTAATAAACAGTGTAAGAAGAGTGGGTGTTTGTTTTACGATTGTTACTGCCGCGTGTCCTTCTAAAAACGAATTTTTTTTCTAAGTTGCCATATATATCACGCCAATATGTTGTGATTGTGCAATTACATATACTGAAAACTAATCAATCGACTATTTTCTTTTGGTTTCACTTATTTGTTGGTATGTGCGCTTTGAAAAAGTGAATTCTTTCAAAAATGAGTAGCTTAGCGTGCAGACGACGAATGAAAAGCTGTATAAATTCTTTCTATTTTTGCGGTACTGACTTCTATAATAGGGTTCAAAGTTCATGGTCAGTAAGTGTATATGACTGATACTTGCTTGATAAATCAATGGCTAGACCGTTTATTATGGTAGTTTTATTTGTCTAACAGCAATCTCTTATGGTATCACTTTCGCTGTCACAGTGTTACAAATGAAGAAAATGTAGATTTATGCAGATGTATCCTTTTTGTGGCACTACATAAAGTGCAAGCTGCAAAGGCAGCAGTAATTGAATCTCGTTTGTGAAAAATCCTATAAAATATTGTTTAACACGATTTTTGCTGCAGTCAAAAATTATTCGTGTTTGATAGTTCTTAAGCAAAAACTGGCAAGGAAAGTATCTCGTAACTTTGGAAAATTATATGCGAGGCACTGTCAAGTAGACTCTTTGAATATCAGATCCAAAATTTGGCAAAAAAATGTTGTCTGCTAAATTATTGGTCATAAATTATACTTCAGCTGCTGACACATAACTATAGAGAAAACTGTTGTCGTGTGTCCGTCTGTGTTTCATGAACTTTCGAAAGTGCAAGAGGAATCTCATTAAAAAAGTAGAATTCATATCGTACTATCATTTGTCGACTTATTGAAATGAAAGTTTATACAATTCAGCACCATATATGCTAGTGTCATGTTAAAACATCATATTCATCTAAAAGCAATAGCTCATGGTTCACATATTTAGGAAAGACTAACTTTGTCATTTTAAATAATCGTGTTGACGTTTTCTTGCTTCTTGGGTGTGGTGCTCGATGTCAATTGATGACCTGAATCAATATCCATGAACAATTACATTTTTTTAAAATTGTCAATAAAAGATACCGATTAGTTGCAATTCTTACCATTCGGAAACACTCAAGATGTGCACTTTGATAAGTATTGAAGACTCAAATCGACTATGCTTGGAACTTGTGGTAGTTTTAATTGAAAATCTATTGATTCTTTCATGCTTTGTCAAGAAACAATGATGGGTTTTAAATGCATGAATCATCACTGTCAACACTTACAATTCATTATTCTGATTACAGAATACGATTGTCGTTCGTTAAATCTCTACTAAAAATCAAATTGTTGATTTTGTTTACTGTTTCAGATGGAACTTATATTAGTTGAAGAAGATCTGAAGAAAATGATCATTTTGTTGAGATCTAAAATATCTTTCGTTTTTTCTAAGCCATTCGACTATCTGTAGCCATACACTTTGTGAGTCGTTTCGATGAAAAAATGTGACACTAGATAACTGTTTGACTTGTTGCAGAATCAGTTTGATTGATTCAACGTTCTTTGTTACCACTTTCAGATGTTCGATTTGACGAGGTACTACAGTACAGATGCTTTGTGCTCGTTGGATTGATAGTTCATGATATTTTATCGATATGCCAAAAGAATGAACATTATGTGCTCTTTCCAGTAAAGCATTGACCATGTTCGAGTCCAGAGTACAACGAAAATCGATAACTAACCGGATTTGTATAAGACGTACAAGATTAATTTGCATTGATAGAAGTTCTAAAGATTCTTGTGACCATGGTTTATTGATCTCCAGTGTGAGATGTGTTGTGTTGTGAAAAGGATTTGTTGTCTTTGCAATTTAACCTAAAGTAGCGTCTGAACTACTATTTGTTGAACAAGTGAAGTAACACAAACTATTGATATTTCTATCATTAACAGATGGGTTCAATATAAACAGTGGAGCTCTGCAGAAGAAAAGAAGAGAGCAGGAAGAATGAGATCAAGTAAGAGTAGAAGTCGAGTAGACTATTCTTAAAATCAAGATCTGGACCAAGATTGGATTTCATTTCTTAATTGTCATGGTTCCCGTTGTTATTCTTGTCATCAAACGTGTTCGAATGAACTCTCAGCTTAGACGGAGTGCTCGTTAAAGAAAGTATGGAAGTTATTAATACTTCTCCTTTATTATTATCATGGATATAGAAAAACCACTTATGATCGCTATGTTGTCAGAATATTAATAATCAACATTTTCGAAATCAACTTCGATTTGGTTTTTGTTTGAGATTTTTTTCATACTAAATATTGGGAAAAATGAATTATTTTTGAATCTTATTTAGAAGTGTACATATTCGAAGAATAGCAGTCAAACTCCGCCAAATATTAAAAATAGTTCTTAAACTTACATTGTCCCATGCAATATAATTTGTTATTTCGGCGAAATTCATGTGAACGTTCCATATGCTGTTGCTCATCGATTTGTCTTTGCTCGTCTTGGTACAAGATACGCAAGAAATTGTTTTCTCTTCGTATTCTTCTGAAAAGTCGAATTCAGAAATCGATGACGATTGAAGCTTGACACTTCGATTTGAAGAGTTAATTGTGTATTTACAAGTAACAAACCATCGTTTTTGTTTGAGCCAAAACTCTGTTCGAAATGGAAGAATTAGAGATTCAATATCATCATGATCATAATCAGAACATTGAATACAGAATGTAAACTCATTAAGTCGAGGTAGTTGCTTTTGAATGAACGGTTCACACTCAGAAAACCGACGTAAGCAATCAGCAGAGAAATCCAAACAATGCAGGCTAAATTGAATAATTGATGGTGTAAGAGAGAGAAATAATTCCAGCATACTCATCGATGTATTACGACAATCAAGTGTTAATGAAGCTATCTGTCGGAATAAATTTGCAATAGGAGTTTGGTCAATTTTTATTAGTTCAACATTTTTTAAAGAAACTATTCGAAGACAAGGTGATTGATGAAGAATCTTAAGAATTTGTTGATCATTACATCAATTGATTGTGATTTGTTCAATTGTGGATTGAGCTGGCCATGAAATTTGATCTATTATAGCAACGTTAGTGTCGAAATGCAATGTTCGCATACTATTCTTCGCTATTATTGATGATAGCAGAGCCATTGTAGTTTTACTAAAGAGTGATGATGACGACAATGATAACGATCTAAGGGTGTTGATATTGATATGACGCAGTATTTTTTCGAGTGTTTCATTTTTGATACATGAGAAAGATAATGAGTGCAGTCGAGTGAACCTTTCAATTTGAATAAGTGATAAAAATAATGCTAATTTATCAGTTTGTTGAGAACCACCCGAGAGGAACAGTGAAGTAATATTTTCTGGTCGAATTAGACGACAAATAAGATAGATATTCTTGTTTGACATCGAACTGATCTCCAAACGATATTGATTGTAGATATTTGTGAGAGCATACAGTTGTGTACAGACGCTTCGTAGTGACAGAAGAATTGTTTTTGCATCTAATTTGTCGAAAATACAAAAGATTACCTCCATGGGTAGTGTGAAAAGATAAGGCGTTTGTTTAGTAGTTGTTGCTGACATGTGCTTTGTTAAAATGAAAGACTCTTCAACTACTCTATAACATCTAAGTTTATGGGTTGTGTAATTACATATGCTTGTTGAAAAAGATATGTGCAGATTGCGAAAGATGAAATTTTGAGTAGATGAATCATTCTTACATACATTTATAAGACAATTCGATGGAGCATGACGAATTTAAGAAAGAAAATTGTCTCACTCTCGTCACAATACTTTTCTTATGGTTGTTAACCAAGACGAAATGATTAAGGATATACAAGATATACACAACAACATATTTATTTTTATACATTGAGAAGAAAAAATCTTTGAACAAACAATATTTTACATCATTATTCGACACATAAATCAAAATAAAATTAAACACGGAACAACATTGATAAATAATTGTTTAATACAAAATCAATAACTTCAATTTTTTTTTTTTGTAATCAATATCCAAACCAATCAAATGCTAAAGTTCCACCTGATGGTTGTGTCCAAAGTCCATTGATTGAAGCTGTCCATGGTACCATACCACTTTGTAATTGTAAATAACCGGGTGAACCATTCATTAATGGATACGATTCACTCATTGTACATACTGTTACACCTGCATTACATTGTGCTGTCATCTTCAAAGGAGAAAAAAAGTAATTCTTTTTTCAATATTATTTAACTCAACAATTCTCTTCTTACATTTGAATATTCTGCAAAATCAGTTACAGACCATTTTATACCACGATCATCACTACGTACTATTGATACACCATCTTGTGCATAACCATATAAATATTGTGTTTGTTGTACAGTATCATATACAAATAATTTAATATTCGCCACAGTTGTATTCAAAACTAAAGAAAAAGAATCAATCAAATCTAATGAACAAAAGACGTTAATTACCAGTCCATGTAGCTGGTGCTGACATATCACCATTAAAAAGTAGATGGCATACAATCA